TTTCCATGTGCAGCTGCTGAAACCCTACAAGGACCCCAACCAGCAGTTCCAGGGACGGCAGCTACCGCCACCACCACTGGTTCTCGTACAGGATGAACCAGAGTGCGAAGTGGAGCGCGTTCTCACTCATCGGCGCCGCGGCGGCAAGACCCTCGAGTTCCTGATACGCTGGAAGGGATACGACCCACTGAGGACAGTTGGGTTGCAGAAGCTAGTATGGGCAATGCACGCCATGCTCTCAAGGACTATCTTGTCAAGCAGGGTATATCTCACGCCACCCAGCTTTGAGGGGGGGACGTGTGAGAGTACGACGGCTTATGCCAGCTATGCTTGCTTGCCTTTACTTTATCATGCTATTTCTAGCATAGGATAATTATATGCATGCATGAATTGCTTGATTCCCTAGGCTAGGTGCTTTCCTATATTTTATTTTAGTTATAGCACCGAGCTAGGTTGCGTGCACCAAATTCTGGCTTTTCGGTTGCCAACAAATTGCCTTCTATCGAATTCGGTAAGGATCTGTTCGGGACGCTTCGCGACCCGCGGAACCTTCGCGTAACACCTGGTTACGGGGCCTTGTGTCGAGCCTATATATAGCCTCGTGTTGTACCCAGGTGATCATTCAATTCGACTCAATTCTCATTCTCTTTTCTAAGCTCGATCCTAGATCCTCACACCGCAAGTGGAGGAGTCGGCATCCTTCGCCGAGGTCAACGACTTGGTCGAATGCTGCTCCCTGCGCGACTTATTCTCCCGACGAGGACGAGGCACGGCCGATCTCCCTCGGCCTCCTTTAACATCGTCGTCATCAGAGTCACTGCGGTTGGGGCAGTCGAAGGAGAGGTGGTCGGGGCTGTGGTAGATCCAGCACTCCCGGCGCCGACTTCCTCCTCCACGACTGCCATCCGTGGCCGACTTCCTCTTGACGGCGTCCTTAGCTGGCTTCCCACCACTGCTTCTATTGCCGCCAAGCTGTCCGCGTTGTCCCGGTCGACCAGCTTGTGTCGCCGGGGCGACGTAGTTCGCTTGCAGCAAGAGCTCCGAGGACCGCTCGGCTTCCTGCATTGCCTCGTCCCACAGAATATATGAGGTCAGGGAGTCCTCGTTGAGCGTCGCCCGCGTGCTCGGCACCACTAACAGCCGTTTCAGTAGGTTGTAGCTGCTCGGGAGCCCCTTTAGCACGTGCGTGACATACCACGCCGGCGAGTACTGCACGCCGGCCATCCTCATAGTGGCGAGAAGTCGCCGAGCCCGGTTGCAGTAGTCGGTTCGCCAAGGTTGCAAGTCCATAGTGTGCCAAATCTGCAGCAAGTCGACTGCACAGCATTGCACCCGCAGGACAATGGTGCACCTGCTTCGAAGGTGCGTGTAGCTGGCTAGTGCACCGCTCCTCGTCACGTGCACAGCGCAGACGCCCTGCTCGACTCTTCGCCAGTGACTGCGCCCACCAGCCACGTCGGCCTCGGGATACCATTTTCGAGGTCAGCCTCGCAGGAACCACCCTCACGACTTTCGCACACATCGGCCAGGTATCTCGGTCGACCGGACAACCACGCCTAGTCGACCCGCCCTGTCTATCGCCGGCTACACAGGCCCGCCGTCCCCCGGTCCGGCGTTCAGGCGTCCAGGAAGACGTATAGACGCCTAGGTCGGCGTCCAGGAACCCGGGACGCTGACCAGACGCCCAGGTTGGCGTCCAGCCTCCCAAGACGCCGTCTAGGCACTCAGGACGGCATCCGCCTCCCTCCAGCTCGGCGCCCTTGTAGTGGCCCCCATGCTCACTACTGCAGGCCGGCTGCATTCCCCACACACCCGACCACGAATTCGGCTCTGCCCAAGCGAGGACGGGGCCAAACAACACTCCCGTTGACAGCATCTGCCGTCCTTGAGCATCCGCCGCAGCTGCATCTGCCACCATTGCACCTGCCTGCTGCTGCATCTTCCGCTGCACCTTCAAGGGATGTTTCCTATACATGGTTTTTGCGGTAGGCAGTTAAGGGGTGTGCCAAAATATACTCATATATATTAATTGCCTTTATTGTATTCTAGTATAGCCATTCCTATCCAACTCTTAGTGGTAAATTTCCTTGCATTGTGTGCGTTGTATTCCTCACCCACCTTCTGGTCAATCGACTTCTTCCTTTCTCTCACTCATCTCATGGTTATTTTGATTTTTTTTTCTTCGTCAGATCACACTACAGAGTAGAATAACCATTCCACACATCCACCTGTTCCACACAAGCCAGTTCGGCATTAAAGTCCACCGTTCAGCTGAGCTGCCTATCTCCCTATCAATCCGGCATGAAGCTCAGTGCATCTCAGCCCCCAAAATCTCGTCCTTCATGGACAACAAATCCCCCAATACTCGGGCCATGGAGGAGCAGGAGGCAGTGGGCATGGCAGTGCAGGCGAACGCAAGACGGGCCATATGCAGCACACAAATTCTAGAGCATCTAAGTGAAGGTTCTTGAATTCTGCCATGTTGTTGGATGCCATCAATCGGGCCCACATGCTTAGGTACAACGACCACATCGATGTGATGATGCGGTGCCATGAAGTTTTTGGCAGTTGGTGCTACAATTTAGTGTACAGCGAATGCTGACAATACACCCAGGAAGTTTTCTAACCACTTGTACAATACGGAGCCGTTGATTCACATGTTTTGGACTTAGTGATTGTTTGAGGTTTTTCTACATGTCCTTTATCATATGAATAGCCTTGCGTGTCGTGATAACCATAGCATCACCACTCCAAAGCTGCCCAAGATAGAAAAAAATACCGTAACATCAAAGAGGTGTAAAACAAGTACAACAACTCATTTACTTATCACTGATTGGTTCTCACATTTTTATTTAATAATTATTTCTCTGTGTGCATGGATCATACATAAGTGATATGATATATATTAATAAACATACCTGCGCACGTCTGCATATGGAGCGACAATGGTAATATAAAGTGATAAAATAGGGCCTGCCATCATACTTGCCTTCTTTTGTAGGCATTCATATAATATGAATATAGTTTACCCATACCACTTGCATAAATGTCAACTTCACTAGCTCAACAGTTGTGAATCCACTAGATCAATATCGCGTACATACCTCATTCGCTGATTAATGTGTATTGGAATACGCTTCAGTAAGGTCCTCTGCGTTCTGATACGCTTTGTCCTCGACTTGAAGCGTTTGGGTAGGTTATCGAGTAGAGAATCTGTTAGAACGGACTTGGATGTTTTCAAGGCTGTGCCCAGGTTGCCTTGATGAAACAACTGCAATGCCATTGACTCGAGGAAGTTGTAGGAGGATTAGAGCAAGTAGTTGATCCATGGCAGTGACAATCGACGAATGTAGTCAGCAATACTCGTTTGACTACTGGAGCTTTGTCGTTGGCGGCTAGAGCATTTATCGCTTTGATTGTTCGAGCAGGAATATCCAAGCTATTACGCAGCTAGTGAGTGCTTCTAATCTACGGTCCACATCGCATCCTCTTCGAGTCGAGTTTAACGATGTCTCCTAACGCCGTAACGCGCCTTTCTGGCATCACTCACGCGTTTTGAGTCGACTCAGAACAGTTTAACACTGTCTCCTAGCGCGTAACGCGTCTTCCTGGTATCACTCACGCGGTCGCATTGCCTCTGGCATCAGTCACTTCATCGCATTGTCTTTGTTCTTTAAAATCTTAGCTTGAAAACGAATTCTCTCGAAACGACTTACGCGGACCACTCGAGGAAGGATCGTTAGAGACTGACCCGTTACCGGCTCGGTGTCGCATTTATCGTAAAATGAAACTGACTTTGCGGGTCCCAGCGACCCTGTCGGTGTTGTTAGCAGTGCTTCTGGCGCTTTCAGCATCGCAGTGGCACATCGCTGCTTCTTCGGAAACAGCAGTCACAGCAGCAGCAGCAGCGGCAGCAAGAGAAGCCGCATCGCCAGCAACAATAGCAGCAGCAACGGAATTCGCACCAGCATCAGCGTCAGGATTGACTGGGTCAAGAGGAACGATTAGGACAGGGTCAACTGGGACAGGGTCAAGCGGGTCGACAGAGTCAGCTGGGACAGGGTCCACTGGGACAGGGTCAACTGGGACAGGGTCAACTGGGACAGGGTCAACTGGGACAGGGTCAACTGGGACAGGGTCAACTGGGACAGGGTCAAGCGGGTCAACAGAGTCAATTGGAGGGACAGGGTCAACAATGTCAAGGGAGGTACGAGGAACAGCATCAGGTGGAGTCAGTGGTACAGTGCCAGCATCAGCGTCAGCATCAACACCAGCGGCACCATCACCATCATCACCAGCAGTATCACCACCATCATCACCAGAATTCCCACCACCACCATCGTCACCAGCAGTATCATCACCATCATCCTTACCTCCAGCATTGTCACAACAACCAGCACCATCACCACCAGCATTGTCACAGCCAGAACCATCAGCATCACCATCACCACCAGCATCGTCAGCACCATCAGCATTCTCAGCACCAGCATCAACATCAGCACCAGCATCAACATCACCATCACCACCATCAGCACCATCACCAGTTGCTGCGGCGGTTGCCGAGCCTCAGCTCCAAACCACTGAACCAACTGCCGAGCCTTCCCTCCCTGCTTCCAAGCATGTTTCCAAACCTGCTGCTGAGCCTTCTCTTCCACCTCTCGAGCCTAATGCCGAGCCATCCCTGCTCGCACCACTATCTTCGCCTGCCGAACCATCCCTTCCTGCCCTAGCACCTGCTTCTGAACCATCCGCCGCACCGCCTTCCGAACCACCCTCGGAACCTCCCTCTGGGCCTCCTGCCGAAACTCCATCCGAAGCACCTGACTTAGGTTCGGAAGAGGGCGAGGAGCCGTTGCCAGCCATCCCCGAGCCTAGCTCCCTGGTGTGCCAGCTGTCGGACTATACGAGAGTATCCGGTCCATGCCAAGGTGAGTAAAGGTGCAAGAAAAGCCTTTTGTTGTGTCCTTGTGCAAAGGTGAGTGAAGCCTCGAGACGAGAGAATGTTGTTCCCGAGCCTAGCTCACTGGGTCGCAGCTGTACCAGAGTATATATACGGTCCCTGCCAAGGTGAGAGAAGGCTCAAGAAGAGCGTTTCGTGTGTCTGTCTCAAGTTGAGACCCGTGTTAGGTTGAGGTCCATCTCAAGGTGAGACCTGTGTTAGGCTGAGGTCCGTCTTAAGGTGAGACCTGTGTTAGGCTGAGGTCCGTCTTAAGGTGAGACCTGTGTTAGGCTGAGGTCCGTCTTAAAGTGAGGCCTGTGTTAGGCTGAGGTCCGTCTTAAGGTGAGACCTGGTGTTAGGCTGAGGTCCGTCTTAAGGTGAGACCTGTGTTAGGCTGAGGTCCGTCTTAAGGTGAGACCTGTGGTAGGCTGAGGTCCGTCTTAAGGTGAGACCTGTGTTAGGCTGAGGTCCGTCTTAAGGTGAGACCTGTGTTAGGCTGAGGTCCGTCTTAAGGTGAGACCTGTGTTAGGCTGAGGTCCGTCTTAAGGTGAGACCTGTGGTAGGCTGAGGTCCGTCTTAAGGTGAGACCTGTGGTAGGCTGAGGTCCGTCTTAAGGTGAGACCTCTGGTAGGCTGAGGTGAGGTCTGTGTCAAGGTGTGAAACTGTCCAAGTTACGGTAAGTGTTTGATGTATCCCTCCCTATCAATGTGAATTCCCTGCCAATGAAGCCATAAGTTGCCTGCTGCTTCTCCCCCCTGTTTCATCCCCTCCTTTGCGCCCACCATTGCTGCTACAGGTCAGCAGCGGCGGCGCATCTATCTACTTCATCTGCTCAAGGTCCGCAACTGCACCGACCCCTCCCAGCCGAACCTTGTGTCTTCCCGTTTCTCCTGCTCCTCCATATTATCGCTCTTGCCCCTGCCCCTGTACCCCCACTACCCATCCCCAGGTCAGCAGAGGCGCATCTTCTCCAACAAAGCCCAACTGCACCGATCCCTTGGAGTGTAGTGGACCTCTCCTGCGTACCCCTCCTCCTGCTGCTTCCCCACACTGTCTCCCGCCTCTTCCTCTGTATTCCCACCATCCCTCTCCAGGTCAGCAGCGGCGCATCTTCTCCAACAAGGCCCGCAACTGCACCGACCCCTTGGAGTGCAGCGAACCCCACCTGCTGCTTCCCCACACTGTCTCCCACCTCTGCCCCCACTACCACCACCCCTCTCCAGGTCAGCAGCGGCGCAAATTCTTCAACAAGGCCCGCAACTGCACCAACCCGACCCGTGCAATTGAAAACATGTTTCACCTCTCCTCTGCACCCACCATTGCTGCTGCAGGTCAGCATTGGCGCATTTTCTCCAACAAGGCCCGCAACTGCACCGACCCCTTCCCGCTGAGCTTCCCGTTTCCGCTCTGCATCTCCTTCACTCCAGGCCGTGTCTCTTTCCCCTGCCCCCACCACTCGCCTCCTCTCCAGGTCAGCAGAGGCGCATATTCTTCAACAAGGCCCGCAACTGCACCGACCCCTTCCCGCTGAACCTCTCTCCTCGACCTGAGCCTTGCGGTGAGTGGCTCTGCGGTGCGATAGTTCGCTCTGCAGTGAGATGCTTTGCGGTGAGGTGCTCTGAAGTGAGTTGCCCTGCCCTGCAGTGAGCTGCGTCGGCACATGGAATGATTGACCTCTGAGGTGCCTCAAAAGTCAGGTGCACCAACCTCTCGCCTCGACCTGAACCCTGCGGTGAGCTTCTGGTGGACCGTGGTTTAAGGGTATTAGGGTGAGGTGGTGGACTGCGGCTTTAGGGTTTTAGGGTTAGAATAAGGACCACGGCCTTAGGGTGTAGGGAGCGACCGAACAAGCTTTGAATATGTATCCCTAGACCTCAACCCAACCCATACCGTGGTGGTATGATTTCTAGTATGTACGCCAGACCTGAGCCCAAATTGATATCATTGTATCATATCAACCGTAGGCCCAGGAGGAGAAGATGACTGCGTGGCACCAGACCAGACGACTGCACACCAGCACGGCGGCACGCACAGCAGAGGACCGCGGGTACAAGTAAGGGAAGTGTCACAATGTCATGGCTGGCTGTGCGTGTAGTGGTGAGTCTATTTTTGAGTCGACTCAAAAATGTCATGGCTGGCTGTGTGTTCATCCATATGTGCATCCCATCCCACCCAATACCCATTGCATGGCATGACATGCCGTGACAGACATCTGTGCACACCCGTGTGTGTGCGCTGTGCCTGTGCCTCTCTCCTCCCGTACAGACTGCACACCAGAGGACTACGAGCGCAAGTATGTCAAGGCAGGCAATCACATGGCATTTTTCTAGTGGCTGGACCGTGCCGTAACCGTGTGACCACGCCTGTGTGTGCGCCCTTGTCTCTCCTCCCGTGCAGACTGCACGCCAGAGGACTATGAGAGCAAATACGTCAAGGCAGGCAATGGCAGGCGAGGGCCTGACAATGTGCCAGCGGCCGTATCCCATACCCATGTGTCTTCACGCCTGTGTGTTTGCTGTTGCCTCTCTCCTCCCGTGCAGACTGCACGCCAGAGGACTATGAGAGCAAATACGTCAAGGGAGATACAGGCCTGGCCGGTCGTGTGTTCATTCATGTGTCCCATCCCATACCCATATCCACATGTGTGTGTGTGTGTGTGCGCGCGCGCGCGTGTGCGTGCGTGCGTGCGCGTGAGTGTGTGTGTACGTGTGTGTGTGTGCGCCAATGTCTCTTTCACCCCACCAGACTGCACGCCAGAGGACAATGAGCGCAAGTACGTCAAGGCAGAGCACGCCTAGCAGTGTGTTAATTGGCCTTGTCTCACACTGCCTGTGTTTTGTTATGTGCCTCTCACACCCCGCGTGCAGACTGCACGCCAGAGGACTATGAGCGCAAGTACGTCAAGGCAGACAATGGCTCCTGCACCCTCTCCTTCCAGCCAACCAGTACGTACTCGTTTCTGAACTCCAGATTTGTTGAGCTTGATTCTGAAAATTCTAGCTTACTTTTGAGGCGCCTCAAAAGTCCTCTCCTTCCTGCCAACTAGTACCTACTCGTTTCTCAACTCCAGGTTTGCCTTCGGCTAACTTTTGCCATTTGTTTTTGTGACTTTGTCTCATCTGCAAAAAGTTGGCTAGAAGATTCGCTGGGTGGATAGACGATGTACAGAGTTGGTTATCGTGACTATAAGTCTACCAGTTGTGACTCTATATGACCTTTTTGAAGATGCACAATCATGCACCATCCCTTGACTTGTCCCCGTTGCCCTCGCTTCCAGTTGCACTTTTGATGAATCCGAAACACGTTATGCTGTTGGGGTGAATGGGGTGCTCTCGTTTGCTCCATGACAACAGATTGTGATGGGGTGAATTCCAGCTGGGATAGTTCAGCTGGCCTTCTCTCCTTGTCCCTTTTGTTCTCGCCTCCAGCTGCATTGCATCTAGGGTAAATCGATTTTTGAGTCGACTAAAAAATTCTCGCCTCCAGCTGCATTGCATCTAGGGTAAATCCACAACCACAACACGTTATGCATGTCTTTGTCTATCTTGTTTGCCTGATGTCAACAGACTGCGAGGGAGGGGATTCCACTTGGGAGATTCCTGCTGACCCTCTCTTCTGTGGTGAGCACACTCCGAGTAATCTGCTGCATCCTTGTTTCCTTTCTAGTTCCTCATTAAGCACTCCTTGTGAAATCAGCTCTTTGCTTCTGCGAGTGGTGGTGTGCATGCAGCATGGTGCCTGGTTTTCATTCCGAGCTGCCTCTGCTGCCATTGGCTCACCCTGTATGCGCGCTTGTGTGCTCGCATCGCACGTGTGCATCATGCGTGTGTGTCTTTTGTGAGTTTGTGCATATGTTCCTCCTCCTGCCTGCTTTTGAGGCGCCTCAAAAGGCGCCTCAAAAGTTTTGAGGCGCCTCAAAAGTGCTCGCATCGCACGTGTGCATGCGTGTGTGTCTTTTGTGAGTTTGTGCATATGTTCCTTCCTCCTCCTGCCTGCATGCAAATCCATCCATGCACATATCTAATTGCCTCCGAAACACGCATCCAATTCAAGCACCCAAATCCATGTGTCCGGATCCCACCGCTTAAGTCCTCACATGCACATGTTGATTGATGGGTAACTGATCTGCTGCACAGTTAAACCCAGTGCCAGGCGACTTTTGATTTGAGATGTCTCAAAAGTCGCGTGCATATATGGGTCTAGGGATTAGGTATTTGCTGCCCAAGTCTATGTTGAGTGATCTATTGCAGGGCTAGGCTAGCCCCAATTTCCAATTAGGGGGCTTGGGGGCCCCGATCTGATGAGAACATAACATTCTCATCCCATGACCGAATGGGGGGATCCATGCATCAGATTCAGCTTATAACATCCTCCCATGATGTTATTAGCATCAGGCATGGGGTTCAGCTTATAACATCCTCCCATGATGTTATTAGCATCAGGCATGGGGTTCAGCTTATAACATCCTCCCATGACCGCATGTTGATTGATAATCGATCTGTTGCAGAGCTAGCCCCGGTGCCATGTGGGGAGGGCAACATCCGCACCATCCATGGCAAGTGCGACTACATCAGAGACCCCGCGTCCAACCAGCCCCTCAGCAAGGAGAAGACCATCCAGGCACGTGGTAACATGCGGTAACACACGGTAGCATGTGGTATGTGGTAGCTCCGGTGGGTGGCATGCATGTGGGGAGGCAACATCCGCACCATCCATGGCAATTGCGACTACATCCGAGACCGAGCAAAGAGCCAGCCCCTCAGCAAGGAGAAGACCATCCAGACACGTGGTAAAATGCGGTAACATGTCGTAAGACACTAGACAATACGTGGTAACATGTGGTAACATGTCGTAAGACACTAGACAATACGTGGTAACATGTGGTTACGTGGTCAAAACGTATGGTGCTGTCATGTTCCCTGCTGCTCGTCCGTCTTCTTCATTCACGCTTGCGCTTCCTCAGCATCCTCCCCCTCAGCATTTCAAGTTGTGATTTCAATATCCTTTTATATTTTGAGCAAAGTTCTTGAGGCGCGCCATCACCATAACATGTCATCATGTCACCATCACCATCACGATCACCCTCACATCACCCCCCTCCACATCACCATCACCCCCCTCCACATCACCATCACCCTCACATCACCCCCCTCCACATCACCATCACCCTCACATCACCCCCCTCCACATCACCATCACCCTCACATCACCCCCCTCCACATCACCATCACCCTCACATCACCCCCCTCCACATCACCATCACCCTCACATCACCCGCACTCCCACATCATCATCCCCACCACCAGGTGATCTATTACTTTGACAGCGGTTGCAACCCCACAGCACACGGCTCTCTCCCGCTACCCTCGCCTGGATACATCCCCTGCGGTATGTGTGTGTGTGTGTGTGTGTGTGTGTGTGTGTGTGTGTGTGTGTGTGTGTGTGTGTGTGTGTGTGTGTGTGTGTGTGTGTGCTGAGAGCTTCGTGGTGGGTCGGGTGGGAGTTGTGTGGTGGCTTGATCTGTGGCGGCGCTGCCATAGCCTGGATACATTTTCTGCGGTATGTGTGTGTGTGTGTGTGTGTGTGTGTGTGTGTGTGTGTGTGTGTGTGTGTGTGTGTGTGTGCTGGGAGTTTTGTGGTGGTGCAAGTGGGGTGGGGGTTCTGTGGTGGGTTGGGTTGAACCTTATCTAGCCATCACGAATCACCCCACACGGCTCTCTCCCACTGCCATAGCCTGGATACATCCCCTGCAGTATGTGCCAAAGTTTTGAGACGTCTTAAAGCTACCATGACCTGGATGCATTCCTGCCCTGCGGTATTTGCCAAAGTGACTTTTGAGTCGACTCAAAAGTCACCTCGTTTTGAGACGTCTCAAAGCTACCATGACCTGGATGCATTCCTGCCCTGCGGTATTTGCCAAAGTGACTTTTGAGTCGACTCAAAAGTCACCTCGTTTTGAGACGTCTCAAAGCTACCATGACCTGGATGCATTCCTGCCCTGCGGTATTTGCCAAAGGTACGATGAACCAGCTGAATACATTTCCCACATTATGTGCCATGTCGTGCCGTACCATACTTTACCATATCATACCGTACCGTACCGTACCATTCCATACCGCACCGTGCCATACCATAACATACCATACCATACCATACTGTACCGTACTGTACCATACCATACCATTCCATAGCATATACTGTACCGTACCCCCCTCCACTCCCATCTTCCCCTTTTCCTTTCTCTCCCCCCTCCCACACAGACATGACGTGCCCTGCCGGTTCCTACCTGGACGGGGACAATGCCGCAAGTGCAAGCCTGGCACACAGAGGAGAGGAGAGCACACAGGACATCATTCCGCCATCCAATCCCATCCACTGCTTCTCTCTTCCCCCTTCGCCCAACCCCCCGCCTCCCCCCCCAAGACATGACGTGCCCTGCTGGTTCCTACCTGGACAGGTACAAGTGCTGCAAGTGCAAGCCCGGCATACAGAGGAGAGGAGAGCACGCAAGACATCATTCCGCCATCCAATCCCATCCACTGCTTCTCTCTCCCCCTTTCGCCCAACCCACCCCCCCCCCCCCCCCCCAAAGACATGACGTGCCCTGCTGGTTCCTACCTGGACGGGGACAAGTGTCGCAAGTGCAAGCCCGGCACGTACAGCATGGGGGGAGGGATCCGTTTCGATGCTTTCTATGAGCTTGATGACCGGTTGTTCCAGGTATGGCTGGGTACTTGGCGGTACGATAGTTTCTGAGGCACCTTGAAGTTCGCTTTTGAGCTGCCTCAAGATTCGTGGCTGGTTGTTCCTGGTACGATTGGCTTTTGAGTCGACTCAAAAGTCAACTCTGGCCGGTTGTTCCTGGTACGATTGGGGAAACCTTTACTTGCTTGGACTTGCAGACCGACTCGAATTCAGAACGAGTCGTGCATTTTAACTTGATATATGATATATGGCATATATTTGTTATTATATATCTCTTGTTGCTCACATGCATCTCCTGCTTATCCTTTTCTACCGCTCTGTATTCCTCCCTTTCACTGCCAGACGGACTGCACCCACTCCAACTCCTCCGGTTCATTCAAGTGCGACGGGTAAGGCCATCTCGATGTACCACTCATGCGACTTTTGAGTCGACTCACAAGTCGCTCAAAAGTCACCTTTTTTATTCGACTAAAAGTAATTCAGAAGTCACCTTTTTGGGTCGACTCAAAAGTAAGGCCATCTCAATGCACCACTCATGCAAGCATATGTGTCGACACGTCAAGCTCCGTGCTTTCCCAAATGCGATTTAGGCCTATGTGCCTGGCTGGCCGTAGCAAGAGGACCAAAAGGCTTAAAATGAGACTGCCTCTCCTCCCTTAGTTCTTTCTCATCGTTTGCAATAGCTTGTGGTATGGCATGCGTCAACAGGCAAGCTCATAATCAGGCCTCTTTTTGATTCGAGGCGCTTCTGTGGCGGGCTTAAAGGCCTAACTAAATCGACTCAATAGCCATCCATATGCTCACCATTCTCCGTTGCTTCTCACTGCCCCCCAACAGGTGGTATGCAGCAGGCGGCCAGCTCAAAGCCGGCCCGTACGGCAACCCGGTTCTTGAGGCGCCTATAAGATAGCAGTCATCCCACATGGCGATTATCCACCAGACTCCCTTTCCTTGGTGCGTCTCACCGCCCCCCCAACCCAACAGGTGGTATGCAGCAGACGGCCAGTTCAAAGCCGGCCCGTACGACCCACCCAATGAATGGTATCCGGTAGGGCTCAAGCGCTTACTTGGCACAAGCTTATTCGTGAATTGAGACTTTTGACTTTTTAAATTTCTCGGAACTCGAACGTTCCCTGTAGGTAGTCTCATGCAAAACGCTGGCTAACTCTCGCGGCTGCTCCCTTGAGTTGAGTGCTATAACTGTCACGCTAAGTGGATACGTCTTGTCTTGATGGCCTCAATAACCTCCCTTGAGTGCTACAACTGTCCTGTCACGCCGCCAAATGGATGAGACTCGAGGCACCCCAGCGCCTCAAAACTCAATTCATTTTGCTCCCTTGAGGGCTACAACTGTCACGTCACGCCAAGTGGATGAGTCTTGACGCACCTCAATCAAAGGTCACATTTCTCTTGCCCTTGTCTCTAAGCCCTCATATCGCTTTAATCTAGCTCGGCGACAGCACGACCTGCTTCTTGGAAACCCACGATTGCCTGCCACAACACCACAACTTGCCACTGCAACTTGCCACTGCAACCTGCCACTGCAACTTGCCACTGCAACTTGCCACTGCAACCTGCCACTGCAACTTGCCACTGCAACCTGCCACTGCAACTTGCCACTGAAACTTGCCACTGCAACTTGCCACTGCAACTTGCCACTGCAACCTGCCACTGCAACTTGCCACTGCAACTTGCCACTGCAACCTGCCACTGCAACCTGCCACTGCAACCTGCCACTGCAACCTGCCACTGCAGCCTCTCTTATACCCCTCTGGCTCTTCCATCCACCCACATCACCTCCTTCTCTCCATCTGTGCTGCGCAGGACGACTGCTCCCTCGGCTCGGACAACTGCCACAACAACCTACTTTTCACAATCCCTTGCATCCCTCTGTTACCTCATCCCCATATCCCTCGTGCCACCTGCTTCTCTCCATCTGTGCTGTGCAGGACGACTGCTCCCAGGGGTCGTACAACTGCCACAGCAACGCGCTCCCTACCGTCTCTCACCTCCCTCTCTTACCTCTCACCTTCTTCGTGTCACCTCCTTCTCTCCATCTGTGCTGTGCAGGACGACTGCTCCCTGGGATCCTACAACTGCCACAACAACCTGCGTGCGTCGCTGCGCATGCAAGTGGAGCTCATCACATCGGGGTGAGTGAGTGAGCGACACAACATCTCACCCGTCTGTGCCACCAGAGGATCCAATCACGGTGAGCGAGTGGGCGTTGTGCTCAGGTTGACACATCACCTTACCCGGGTGAGTGGCATGGAGGTGGAGAAAATCCGATCAGGGTGAGCCAGTGAGGTGAGAGTGTGAGGGCCGTGCAAGTTTGATTGAGACACCACCCGTGTGTTTCCTTCCCCGAAGCAGCCTTCATCGGGCACAAGACCGACGGAATGAATAATCAACATCTCGGACCCTGTTCCCAATGTCATCATTGTTCTACATCCACTCCATAATCCACTCCATAATCCACTCCATAATAATCCAGTCCATTATCCACCCCACTGCTATTTGCCTTGCCCTTATGCTTCGCATCGCAGTGACCTGACAACACGCTTCACTCACTCGAGAGGTCACCATACTCCCTCCCTCTACTCCAATCTCATCGTACCGTTTCATCGTACCATTTCATCGTGACCATTTCATCGCACCATTTCATCGCACCATTTCATTGTACCATTTCATCGCACCATTTCATCCCTCCATCCACCACAGATACGTGCGCCCAGCTTGGTGCTCGTGTTTGCAACGAGTCAAGTGCGGAGCACTACATTCACAGGCTGTTCCTCTCCTCTACATCCTTCGTTTCGTGCCTGGGCCATTGGCCGCCCCCCTCCCCTCCTCTCCCCCACACCCGCAGCTACATCTGGTATCACTTCACAAAGAATGCAGAGCACAAGGCTTGACTGAATTGACTTAGAATGCCTTCCTTCCTCCTCCCCCCTCTCTCTCCCCATTTTCCCCCCCACCCACCCCTGCCGCAGCTACATCCGGTACCGCTTCACAGTGAGCGCAGAGCAAGATTTTTGAGGCTCCTCAAAGTTTGACGGGCTGCTCTTCTTCCTTGATCCCTCTCTTATCCTCCGCTCCCCCATTCCACTACTCCCCTCCCCAATCCCCAATCCCCCATCCTGCATCCTCCAACCCCAACCCCCCATCCCCCATCCACCACCCCCCTCCCTCCTCCCAGCTACATCCGGTATCGCTTCACAGTGAGTGCAGAGCACGAGTTTGATGGGCTGCTCCCCCTCCTGTGGTCCTCTTGACTCCTCTTCACGCCTCTCCACTCCTCTCCCACCCGCAGCTACATCCGGTATCGCTTCACAGTGAGCACGGAGCACAAGTTTGACGGGCTGCTCTTCTTCCTCCCCTCTCGCCCTATCTTCCCCACCCCTCTGCCTCATCCCCCATCCCCCATCCACCCCCCCCCTCCCCCCCCCCCCCTTCCCTCCTCTACTCACGCAGCTACATCCGGTACAAGTTCACAGTGAGCACGGAGCACAAGTTTGACGGGCTGCTCTTCTTCCTCGACTCCTCGCCAGAGCCTTTGATGGGGCTCGAATCCAACCAGGTGAGTCCCTGTGACTTGAGAGTTGACTCAAAGCTACCTCACTTTGATGGGCTACTCAAGAGGCACCTCACTCCTCGAGTCTCAACTGGTTGACTTGTCAGTTTGACGGGCTGCTGTTCTTCCTTGACTCCTCGCCAGAGCCCACGATTGGGCTCGAATCCAACCTTTTCCTTCAGGTACATCTGGATCGGAAGTTTTTGCAGTGAGCCCTCCTGTCCTGGTTCGCTGCTCTCATTGTGAGTGAGCCTGTAGTTTTTTGAGTCGACACATAAGAAACCTCAGTTCTCGAACCGAGTCTCAACTGAGTGGCTTCTTAGTTTGACTTGACGGGCTGCTTCTCTTCCTCGACTCATCACCAGAGCCCATGATGGGCCTCGGGTTCAACCAGGCTCGGTTCTGTTTGGTTCGTTTCGATTCCGTTCAGTTCGGATCGGTCGGTTTCGGTGCGGTTCGGTTCGGTTCGGTTCGGTTCGGTTCGGTTCGGTTCCGGTCGGTTCGCTCTATCAAGTTTCGTTCTGTCCGGTTCCGTTCCGTTCTGTTCTGTTGTGTCTTTTATTGTCCGATTCGGTCTTGTCCGGTTCTCTACTGTCACATTCTGTTTCAAGGTACCATATTCCAGCTGCCAGCATTGTCCACTCCACTGCCCTGTGCAACGCATGCTCCCTTACCCTCCCCCATCGCCCCCACTCACCCCATTCCCCCCTTGCCAGTTCGAGCCAATGGAGGTGCAAATAATGCTGGAGCCGGGCATTCACATGCTGGAGTAGGTTGGGTTTGCTACAAGTAAGCTCGAGCACGAGCAAAGAGCCATGCGTGCGTGCTTCCCCTCCCTGCCTGCCTGCTCAACCCGGCCTTCCCCACCAGTTCGAGCCCATGGAGGTGCAGATAATGCTGAAGCCGGGCATTCACACGCTGGAGTGGGTTTACTACAAGCAGGCATGCTCAACCCATCTACCCCCACCGCCCATTCCCTCCCTCCTCTCTCCCACTCTCCCCCTGCCAGTTTGTCCCGATGGAGGTGCAGATAATGCTGGAGCTGGGCATTCACACGCTGGAGTGGGTGTTGCACGAGCCAGCAGAGCCCGGAACACAATCTAGCTCCTCCCACACCCTGCCTGCTCAGCTCACCCCACTTCATCCTCTCGCATCCTACCTACCAGTTCGACCCAATGGAGGTGCAGATAATGCTGGAGCCGGGCATTCACACGCTGGAGTGGGTTTACTACAAGGACTCCAAGTTCACCAAGGGGAGGGACTCCGCTGCCCTGCATGTGAGTGCATGAAGGGATGCTGGTGGGTGCTAGAGGTAGATGTTGATAGCATGAGGGGTTGGATTGGGTGCATCCACACACTGGAGTGGGTTTACTACAAGGACTCCAAGTTCACCAAGGGGAGAGACTCCGCTGCTCTGCACGTGAGATTGGTGCAGGGTTGAGGGTTTGTAGGGGCAGTGAGGTAGTGAGTGGAACCCGGCATGCATTCACACGCTGGAGTGGGTTTACTACAAGGACTCCAAGTTCACCAAGGGGAGAGACTCCGCTGCTCTGCACGTGAGTGTGGTGTGGGGTTGTGGAGAAGTAGGGGGCCCTGGTGCACTGAGATTGTGAGGTAGTGAGGGGGGGCGGGGCAGGCATACACACGCTGGAGTGGGTTTACTACAAGGACTCCAAGTTCACTAAGGGGAGAGACTCCGCTGCCCTGCACGTGAGTGTGGTGTGGGGTTGATTGAGGGGAAGTAGGAAGCACTGAGGCACGCGCATGCACTGTAACCCGGCATTCACACGCTGGAGTGGGTTTACTACAAGGACTCCAAATTCACCAAGGGGAGGGACTCTGCTGCCCTGCATGTGAGTGCGGTGCAGGGATGCTGGTGGGTGCTAGAGGTAGATGTTGATGACTTTTGAGTCGACTAAAAACTCGCCTGCCTGCCTGCCGTTTGTCTGTGCCTGCCTGTCTGCCTTGTGTGTGTGCGTTCGTACGTGCAGCTGATAGAGGTGGGAGGCATTGATTACACGGACCGGCAGTGCTTCCCATGCCAGGCAGGCTTCTACAGGTGAGGCAAGGGGCAGCGGTGGGTAGTGGTGGGCAGTGGTGGCAAGGGATGCTGCTGGGTCATTGAGATGGCCACCTGACATGGCTGGCAGCTGGAATCGATTACAGGTGGGTGGAATCGATTACTCGGACCGGCAGTGCTTTCCGTGACAAGCAGGCTTCTCCAGGTGAGTGCGGAGCAGCAGGCAGTGGTGAGCAGTGGTGGGCAGTGGTGGGCAGTGGTGGGCAGTGGTGCGCAGTGTGCAAAAATGGTGGCAAGGGATGCTGTGTGGTTCATTCAGAAGGCCACCTGCCATGCCAGCTGGTAGAGGTGGGCGGCATTGACTACACGGACCGGCAATGCTTCCCGTGCCAGGCAGGCTTCTACAGGTGAGGCAATGGGCAGCGGTCTGGCAGTGGTGCAAAGTGGTGGACAGTGGTGGCATTGACTACACGGACTGGCAATGCTTTCCATGCCAGGCAGGCTTCTACAGGTGAACGCGGAGCAGTGGGTAATGGTGGGCAGGGCGCAGTGGGTTGGGACCAGGGAGTGCACTAGTGGTTGCTGGTATCGAAGTTGGTAGAGGTGGGGCGGCATTGACTGCACGGACTGGCAGGCAGTGCTTCCCGTGCCCGGCAGCAGGCTGGCTTCTACAGGCTTCCCGTGATGTGCTTCTGATGCTTCTGAGCATCAGTGTGCTGGTAACTGGTTACGTTCACCCCGGCGTGGTAGGCTTTACTTTGGATCGGAGCCGACACAGCATTCTACGTAACATTTCAATTTAAGGCTTCTACAGGATCTGCACTCTATTGAAATGCGTTTTACTAGATTGACAATTTTTCCTAAGATTCCCAGCCATGCCATCCGCTGTTTTGTTTGCATACCACTGCTCTTCCTTGGTGCAGTGAGGAGGGCTCTACTGAGTGTGCGCCATGCCCTGTGGACCACTACTCGCGGTGAGTCCAAAGGCTGTATTTCTAATGAGCCCTGGTGCTGGCTGTGGTAGTGCTGCTGCTGCTACTGCTGCTGCTGCTGCTGCTGCTGCTGCTGCTGCTGCTGCTGCTGCTGCTGCTGCTGCTGCTGCTGCTGCTGCTGCTGCTGCTGCTGCTGCTGCTGCTGCTGCTGCTGCTGCTGCTGCTGCTGCTGCTGCTGCTGCTGCTGCTGCTGCTGCTGCTGCTGCTGCTGCTGCTGCTGCTGCTGCTGCTGCTGCTGCTGCTGCTGCTGCTGCTGCTGCTGCTGCTGCTGCTGCTGCTGCTGCTGCTGCTGCTGCTGCTGCTGCTGTTCTTGGTGTTGTTGCTGGTGCTGCTGGTGGTGGCTTGTAGAGTGCAACCCCTCCTTGCAATGCTGATCAGCTGTTTACTCATGCCAGTTGGCCAGCATTCTGGGTGATTATTATGCCAGCCCCACACTCTCTGCTGGTGATTATGCGCGCATTGCACTTGCACCATCCACGTGTACTATGTACCGCCGCAGGGAGGGCTGGCCAGAGTGCAAGCCATGCAGTGCTGAAGAGTACGCGCAGTCGCCTCCTCGAGCCAACTGCTCTGCCAGGCCTCGTACGTGCGCTGCCCTTTAGTTGCATGCGCTTTATTGGAGTCACTCCCTTTGAGTCACATTTGGAGTTACACCTTTTTAAGGCAATCTGCTGGAAATGAAGTCAAACTGAGCAGTCACCTCCTCCTCGAGCCAGCTGCTCTGCCAGGCCTCGTACGTGTGCGGGCTGGGCAGTGCCATGGTCCATCTCTCTCGTACGTGTGCGACTTTCGCTCTCTCGTATTTCTGGCTCTAGCTCCTCTCCTCTATCTCGCTCCCTCTGCTCTCTCCCCATCCCTCCCTCCCTTTCCCCTCTGCCACTAAGCCTGCTGCTGCCTGTCTCTCCACCTCCTTTTCCCTGCCTCCTCGACAATTCTCCAGCTTGCAACGTGACAACCGATGCCGCCCCTACCTACGGCAACTGTAGCGCAGTGGACAACCAGAGAATCAAGGTCAGTCAGATGGAACCCACAAGGAAAACAAAACAGTAGGGTTCAATGCACTCGATTGTGCTCTGGTCCGGTGTAAAGTTTTTCATTAAGAATTGAGCCGTGCAGGCAGTCAGTACACACAGCCAGGTTGCTGGTAAGCTTTGAGTCGGCTTGAAACCCAATGTTGATGGCCTCTCATGTGCCAGCCGTCACACAATCGCACCAACTCACTCTTTCCTTGGTCCTCCTCATCCTTGTATTGCATACCTTCTCTGACATGCTTGGACATCCACACCAACCGTTCCACCCCTGGGCGTGGATGGCTGACCCCTCTCATCATTCACCTCACACCATTCCCCTTTACTCCCTCACCCCATTTCCCACATCAAACCCCCACTCCCTCCAACCCTTCCCCCCACATTCCCCCCCCACGCCTCCTCTCCTTCCCCAATTCCAGACCTGGGCATGGCTCACTCCCCACATCTGTGCGCCCCTCTCAGAGGACGAGGACCTTCCTGCTGACACGCACGAGCCGTGCCGTGAGTGCCATGGTGGTGGTGGTGATGCCGTGTGGATAGATGGATGGAGTAGGAATTGCCATAAGTGTGTGGGTGCAGGCATGCCCCTTTCAGCGAGGGTATTTTTGAGACGTCTCAAAAATACCCTCTGTACACGAGGAATTGCCATAAGTGTGTGGGTGCAGGCGTGCCACTCTCAGCGAGCAGTGACCTCCCTGCTTGCCCACGAGCCGTGCCGTGAGTGCGATCGTGTGGATGGATGGATGGATGGATAGTGGGGAAATTGTCATCTCTGTGTGGGTGCAAGCATGCCGTCTGTTTGAGTCACGTCACAGCTTGTATTTCTGATGCTGATGCTGGTGCGGGTGCTGGTGCGGGTGCTGGTGCTGGTGCTGGTGCGGGTGCTGCTGTGGTGCTGGTGCTGATTCTACTTGTGCAAAGAAAAAACCCTCTTTATACAAAGACCACACCCCCCTGCCCGTTCTTTGCCTCCCCCCCCTCCGCTACCATTTCCCCCTTCCTCCCACGCTACTCCTCCCCTACACACTCAACCCTTCCCAACCACAGCCCCCTGCCCCTCGGGTCAATACGCTGTGGAGGACAGCACCACGTGCACCAGACTCTGCCACTTGCTTGTGCACCCCATGCACCAAACCCTGTCACCTGCCTTGTGTGCTCTCTTCTCTTCCCCTTCCCCCACCACCCACAGCCCCCTGCCCCTCGGGTCAATACGCTGTGGAGGACAGCACCACGCGCACCAGACTGTGCCTCATGTGACAGCAACCCATGCACCAGACTTTGGCACTTGTCTTGTGTGCTCTCTTCTCTTTCCCTTCCCCCCGAACCACAGCGCCATGCCCTTCGGGTCAATACGCTGTGGAGGACAGCACCACGCGCACCAGACTGTGCCTCATGTGACAGCAACCCATGCACCAGACTTTGGCACTTGTCTTGTGTGCTCTCTTCTCTTTCCCTTCCCCCCGAACCACAGCGCCATGCCCTTCGGGTCAATACTCTGTGGAGGACAGCACCACGCGCACCCGACTCTGCCACTTCTGCCCACCGGTGAGCCTGGCTGGATTCCAATTCTGTTTCTTTTTGTTCAAAATGGAGTATGCTATGAATAAGCGGCCTTCCAAAAATTGGATAAAGCGAGCATGGATAAAGCGAGCATGGATAGGTGGCACTGAAGGCTCTCCCTCACCACAGCCCACTTCCATTCCATCCAGCTTCTTCTTACCTGCTTCAACCACTTCTTCCCCTCTCCTCCTGCAGCTTGCCAGCAGAGGGTCTGGCATGCTGCAAAACGCCTCTGTGCCGCCCACCGGACAAGGCGTGCTGCAAAGGTCCTCCAGGTCCTCACCTGACCATATATGGCCACTTTGAACTGCTCTGAACATGCCTCCCTTATTTCCTTTCTCCCTCTCCTCCCTGCAACTTGCCATGGCAGGGTCTGCACACAATGCGACCAGACCACCACCGCAAGTCTAGTTTTGAGGCGCCTCAAAACTTAGAAACTGCAGCTCGCTGGAATGTCTGATCACAACTTGCCATGGCAGGGTCTGGCACGCAACGACGCGACCAGACCACCACCTCGTTGCCAAACAAACCGTGCCGCAAGTGCCCTCGGGGGGAGGTGGCGGTCAAGCCGCTTACCATGGACCACTTTAAACTGCTCTGTCCCACACACCCATTCCATCCTTTCTCAACCCCATACAACCTCACTCAACCCCATTTGCCAAAACCCCAGGGCCTGGCACGCAATGCGACCACCACCTCGTTGCCAAGCAAACCGTGCTGCAAGTGCCCTCGGGGGGAAGCTGGCAGTGAAGGCACTCACCTCACCACGGACCACTTCCAGCTGCTCCCAACCTGCTTCCTTCACTCCCGTCCCCCTCTTCTCTTCCCGCTGCATGTTGCCATGACAGGGCCTGCTCAAAACGCCTCCACCGCCTCAACTGATTAAGCCTGCTGCCTGCCGCAAGTGTCTTCCGAGGGAGGTGGCTGGCTGTGAAGGCCCTCACCATGGACCACTTTGATCCCCTTTTCACCATGCCCTTTCTATCTCCACTCCACCCACTCCCTCTCATGCCCACCAATCGCAGGGTCTGGCACGCAACGCCACCACCTCCACAGCAAGCAAACTGTGCTGCAAGTGCCCTCCGGGGGAGGTGGCTTTGAAGGCACTCACCATGGACCATTTTGAGCTGCATGCTTCCGGCACGCCCTTCTTGCATATCCTCCCTCAACCTCCCTCCCTCCCGCTCTCAACAACACTTCGCAGGGCCTGGCACGAAACGCCTCTGTGTCTAAAACAGACAAGGCGTGCCGCAAGTGCCCTCCGGGAGAGGTGGCGGTGAAGGCCCTCACCATGGATCACTTTGAGCTGCACCGGGGGAAGCTTCCTGACGGTTTCGTGACCGGGTGCAGCGGGGACTGTGGTTCGCTGGGGTGGAGAGTGGTGAACGGGAAGCTGGACTCTGGCAGCAACCACGGCAAGAGTGCCTCTGTAAGACGTGACTGTAGAGAGAAGAACGTAAGATGTGCCTCAGCCTCAGTTATTTCCTTTAGTTGCCTGCTTCCTTCCTCACCGATTTTGGCCGATCCGCTGCCGCACCACACAGCACGGACCTTGTTTTGAGTCGACTGAAAACTATTTCCTATAAAGCTGCCTGCTTCCTTCCCGCCCCCCCCCCCCCCCCTCACCCATTTTGGCTAATCCGCTGAGCGCATCACACAGCACTGGACCTCCGTTGACCTCCCTCCTCCCTTCTCTCTTTCCGTCTTTCATCCCCTCCCCACCAGGTGTGGCCGTCCTATGATGTCAGCATGGCAGTGGATGAGATGATCATGTCACATTTGCGTACGAAATGGACATTCCAGAAGGGGAGAAGGGGGGGACCTGCAGAGGAGGGTCTCTCTCTGCTCATGAGTCCCCTTCTTTCCTCCCCATTGCTCCCTCCTCTCCTTTCCCTCCTCACCTCCCCACCAGGTGTGGTTGTCCTACGATATGAGCATGGCAGTGGAGGGGCACGTCTCATTCGCATACGACGTGGACGTTGCAGAAAGGGGAACCTTGCAGAGAGGGCCCCTTTCTGCTCTTGATTCTTCTTCTCTCTTTCCCTTCTTACTTTCCCCTTCTCCTCCCTCGCCCCCACCAGGTGTGGCTGTCCTATGACGTCAGCATGGCAGTGGACGGGCACGTCACATTCGCCTATGATGTGGACATTCCTCGGGGGGACCTGCAAAGGGGGCTCTTCTTTTATGTGGATGACCAGCTTGTGCTGAACATTGAGGTGGGTGAGTTGTGCTAATCCAGAGGAAGCTCTTTCAAGGCACCTCGCACATCATATCTTTTTGAGATTTCTCAAAACGTGTTTTTTAGCGTGTTTTTTTAGAATTCTCAAAAAACACGTTTTGAGAATTCTCAAAAAACCTCGCACATCATATCTGCAGAGAGGGCTCTTCTTCTATGTGGACGGGACGATCAACTCGTGCTGAACATCGAGGTGAGCAGGAAACTACCGACAGAGAGAGTAGTTTCTCACTGCAGCTTCGCGTCCACCAGTCACTGCCACCGTCACCTGCAGCGAGGGCTCTTCTTCTACGTGCTCAACATTGAGGTGAGGAAACTACCGATAGAGAGAGCAGCAGTTTCTCACTGCAGCGTCCACCAGTCAGTCACTGCCACTTTGACCTGCGGAGAGGGCTCTTCTTCTATGTGGACGACCCGCTGGTGCTCAACATTGAGGTGAGGGTTGAAACTGCTGGTAGAAAGAGAAGGATCAGTGGGATATGACAATATCGCGTTGACTCCCATTGTTATCAGCTTTTGGAGCACCCGCCTCGTCCTGCAATTCCACTGACTCTTATTCTCTTTATCCTCTTTATCCTCTTTATCCTCTTTATCCTCTTTATCCTCTATCCTCTTCATCCTCTTCATCCTCTTTATCCTCTTTATTCTCTTTATCCTCTTTATCCTCTTTATTCTCTTTATCCTCTTTATCCTCTTTATTCTCTTTATCCTCTGCCTTCGTAATCTTCTCCATTCCACTGCAGGACGACCCGGGTGCTGACTCAGCAGCGCCAGCCGGCCCGACAACCAGCGACACGTGGCCGCTGCCAGCTGGCAACCACAGCCTGATGTGGATCTGGGTCACGCTCAACGCTGACAAGGCGATCGCCAGGCGGGATTCGGCGGAGATCCTGGACATCACCGTGTGGGGCAGCACTGTGGGGGGTGCGCCTGCCTGTGTGCCCATTCCCCCCGGCACTGCCCCGGATGCTGCCACCCTTACCTGGAAGGCCTGTCCGCCTGGTACGTCCTTGTATTGTAACACCCCAAGAAAGGACTCTGCCTGCGGCGATCCTGGGCATCACCGTGTGTGGCAGCACCGTGGGGGGCGCGCCTGCCTGTGTGCCCATTCCCCCTGGCACTGCCCCTGACCCTGCCACCCTCACTTGGAAGCGCTGTCCCCCTGGTATGTCCTTGTATTGTATTGTAATAATACCCCATGCGGGACTCAGCGGAAATCCTGGACATCACCGTGTGGGGCAGCACTGTGGGTGGCGCGCCTGCCTGTGTGCCCATCCCTCCCGGCTCTGCCCCGGATGCTGCCACCCTCACCTGGAAGCCCTGTCCCCCTGGTACGCTCCTCCTATCTCTCCTCCTCTCCTCTCCTCTCCCCCAGCAAGCACAGCACTGCCCCTGCCTCAACCCCATCACCCTCACTTGGAAGCCCTGTCCCCCTGGTACGTCCTCGTATTGCATTGTAATAATACCCCATGCGGGACTCCGTGGAGATCCTGGACATCACAGTGTGGGGCAGCACTGTGGGGGGTGCGCCTGCCTGTGTGCCCATTCCGCCTGGAACAGCTCCGGATGCCACCACCCTCACATGGAAGGCCTGTCCGCCTGGTACGTGCTTGTAACACCCCATGGGATGGGGAAGTGAGATCCTATCCTGGGCATCACCGTGTGGGGCAGCACCGTGGAGGGCGCTCCCGCCTGTGTGCCCATTCCCCCTGGCACTGCCCCTGACCCTGCCACCCTCACATGGAAGGCTTGTCCGCCTGGTAAGACATTGAGTCACCCCATGGGAATGGGAGATCCTGGACGTCACTGTGTGGGGCAGCACGGTGGGGGGTGCTCCCGCCTGTTTGCCCATCCCTCTGCTGGGGATCCTCGATATCATCGTGTGGGGCAGCACTGGGGGGGGCGCGCCTGCCTGTGTGCCCATTGCCCCCAACGCAGCTCCGATGCCACCTCCCTCACCTGGAAGCCCTGCCGCCCTGGTAGGTCTGTCCCCGGCCGGGCCTACAGGTGAGGGAGGTGAGGAGGGGTGCAGTGCAGGTGAAGGCAGCACAGCACATGGTAGAGTACTTCTTTTCTCCTCCTCTCATCTCCTTCCCTCTACCTTCCACTTTCCATCCCCCCATGTTCCCCTCTCCCTTTGCCCTCCACCCACACTTACTCGTGTTCAACTGTTTGTGAATGACCGTGACTGTTACTCGGTTGTGTGACTGTATGAGCAGGAGAGTACAGCGAGGGATCGGGCCTGCCGTGTGTAAAATGCCCTGCCAACACCTTCAACCCAAGACCCACGGTAATCCCTCCGCACTCCTCTGAACCCGTGGCGGACCCTCTACACACCCTTTCAACTCCTTTAAAATCCGTATCTACTCTCTCTTTCTATCTCTCCACAGATCTTGGTCCCGCATGAAGTGGGCCTGTATCTATCCCATTCTCATGCAACAGCCATGTAGCCATGTAGCCATGTAGCCATGTTCAACTCACCTGCTCGTTCTTGTAAAAAGTGAATATTTTAGACGTCTCAAGAAATCACTTTTTACGCTTGGGTCATCCCATTCTCATGCAAGAGCCATGTAGCCATGTTCAACTCACCTGCTCATTCTCCCTCCTGTGCCTGTTCGCCTCCATAATCCGGCACCCCTTGGGTTCTTCTCCCATCCCTACTCCCTTTCCCCACCAGGGCGCCCACTCTTCATGCCTCCCCTGCGGTCCCGGCACCTCGTCGCTCGCAGGCAGCACTGCTTGCATGCATGTGCCTGTCCCACTCATCCCCATTCCCATATCCATCCCCTTTCACTTTCCCCTTTTTCCCTTCCCCATCAGGGCACACACTCCTCCTGCCTCCCCTGCGGCCCTGGCACCTCGTCTCTCCCAGGCAGCACTGCTTGCACTGTTGGTGACATCACTGTTCCCTCCTCCTTCTGCACCTTCCAAGTAGTTTCTGATCTGAACCCCCCCAGCAGCAGCAGCACAAGTGAAGCTAATGCTAACACCGCCACCAACACTACCGCCACCACCAGCACCCCCTCCCCCTCCATTCCATCCGCCTCCTCTCCAATCGTCTACGATCTCTCCCCGCTCTCCCGCGTCCATCCTGGCCGCATGTTTGGGCCGATCTTTGAGGATCCAACGGCTGCGGATCGCCAGCACGGGCCCCTGTATTTTGTGTGTGTGTGTGCTGCCCCTGCAGGCAACACAGAGAGGGGGGAGAGAGAAGGGAAGAGCACAGAAGTAGGGCAGGGTGCGGAGGGAGGGGGTGGTGGGGAGGGGAAGGAGGGGAAGAAGGAGAAGGGAAGGGCGATGGAGTGTACAGATGCAGAAGGCAAGCCGATAGCGACCATGGCATGTCGGGTGAGTGTTGAATGGCAGAGAAAAGGGGGGGCAAGCGAGGAAGCAGGGGAAGGGAAGGGAAGGGAAGGATGGTGGAGTGTAAGGATTCAGAAGGGAAGCTGATAGTGACCTGGCATGTCGGGTGAGTTTTGGAACGGTTCATGAAATGTTGCAAGCGTTGAAAGGAGTCAAGTGAATGTCCAGGTGACGCGGGACGAGCATCACGACGCACAAGCATCTGTCACTCTGTGGTCACATTCACCAATGTTGCATCTCATCTCATCTCATCTCATCTCATCTCATCTCATCTCATCTCATCTCATCTCATCTCATCTCATCTCATCTCATCTCATCTCATCTCATCTCATCTCATCTCATCTCATCTCATCTCATCTCATCTCATCTCGTTTTCCTTTCTTCCCCTTGCCGCGTGTTTTGAGGCGCCTCAAAACACAAGTCTGTCACTCTGTGGCCGCACTCACCAATGTTGCATCTCATCTCATCTTCCTTCCTTCCCCTTGCCGCGCCCTTTTCCCTTCTCTGTTGCGCTCAGGTGAATCCTCAGGTGATGCTGGACGAGCAGCACAGAGGATCCCACAGCCTAGGCGACCGTGTCTCCCTCTTCCCCCTCTTCCCCCTCTTCCCCCTCTCGCACCCCCCAAACGCCACCGACCCCCTTCCCCACCGTCCCGACCCCATCCTTGCGCGGAGGGGGTTGGTGATGGTGCTGGAAGGGGAGAGATGCCCTTTCTCCGTGCAGGGGGGAGGGGGGGAGGGGAGCAGGTGGGGGATGGGGGAAGATGCGGAGAAGGGGAAGGGGAAGGGGGAAGGCGGGGAGGAGAAGTATGGACGGCTTACGATCACTTTCATTTGTGACCCTAATGCAGGTGAGGGGGGTGGGGGTGGTGGGTGTGTGAGAGTAATAGGAGGGAGATTGGCAGTGCCAGCATGGGAGAAAAGGGAGATGTAAGGATGGCTGATGATCACATTCATCTGTGGCCCGCGAGTCGCTGACATTTTGAGCCTTGATCAGTGCCAAGAGGAGAGGTATGGATGGCTGATGATCACATTCATGTGTGGCTGAATGCAGGTGAGCGAAAAGAAGGGAGACTGTGAGTGTGCGTGACTAGCAGGAGGGAAATAGGCACTGGTAGCATAGGAGAACGGGGAGGAAAGGTATGGGCAGCTGACAAGCACGTCCATCTGTGATCCGTGTGTGATGAGTCGATTTTTGAGTCGACTCAAAAATTGACGAGCAGGTCTATCTGTGATCCTAATGCAGGTGAGCGCAAGGGGAAGGGGTAAGGTTGGGGGGGGGTTGACTGTGTGAGACTAGTAGGAGGAGGGAGAGTGGCAGGGCCAGCATGGGTGGGCGGAGAGGAGAGGTGTGTGAGGCTGACGCTCATGAATGGATCAGTTGAAGGATAGGAGGGGGATGGCACGAGATCACGAGGACAAGACGAAAGTGGTGGTGTTACTGCGAGCATGGGAATAGATCGGTTGCTTTCTTCCTATACATCACCTTTAGTTCTGCAAACCAGGCACCCAACCTTCCCTTCTGCCCCACTCTGCTGCAGGGTGTTTTCGAGAATTCTCAAAAACACCCTGCAGAATCATATGCATTGCCTATAGTTCTGCAAACCAGGCATCCAACCTTCCGTTTTGCCCCACTCTTGCCTCCTCCTTCCCTCTTCTTGCAGCCCCCAATCTCCTCTCTTCCCTCCCCCCTCCCTCTCCCAGGCATCGGCCACCCCTCCCCCTGGACAGGAGAAGGCAGGCGTGCAGCATTCAACGCGTCCCTGCCCTTCCCTTCCTACCCCCACCCTGCACCCAGTTTCCTTAATTTGGACCCAAATTTCCATCTAGTGCACTTCTGACTCCCCTCCCCTCCCCTCCCAGGCATCGGCCACCCCTCCCCCTGGACAGGAGAAGGCAGGCAGGCAGCATTCAACGCGTCCCTGCCCTTCCCCGCGTGGACCAAGCGGGGGGGCGACTCAGTCCCCGTCACGCAGGGGGGAGACGGGGTGGTGCCGGGGTGTGCATATGAGCTGGCATGGTACAGTGCGTATGCGTGCCCTCTGTGCTCTGAGGGGGATGTGGAAGAGGTTCCAGTGGCAGACTGCCATAACAACAAGCGATCCACGTTCAAGTACCGGCATCCAAGGGTGAGTGTGGGTTTGTGTGGGGGAGGCGATGGGATGGTGCCGGGGTGTGCGTATGAGCTGGCGTGGTACAGTGCATATGCTTGCCCTCTGTGCTCTGAAGAAGACGTGGAGGAGGTGCCAGTGGCAGACTGCCACAACAACAAGCGATCCACGTTCAAGTACCGGCATCCAAGGGTGAGTGTGAGTGTGGTGCCATCCCAGGGTGCATCGAACAAGGCATTCAGCAAGTGAGAGAGAGAGGATGGGGGGTGGTGGTGGCAGCCGGTTGTGCCCTGTCACCAGGGCACTTCAAAACACGTCAACTCCCCCTCTCACATCTCTCCCCCTTCCTTCTTCCTCTCTCTTTCCCCCCCCATTCCCGTCTCCCACCAGGTGTGTCAGCCCAACGCCCAGGCGCCTCTCCCTCCCGACCAGCTATGCTCCCCATGCCCTGCAGACGACTACAGTAGCTTCGAGCAAAGCTGCACTGACAGCACGTTGCCTCCCCTCAAAGCTGCGCTGACAGCACGATGGCTCTCCTCTCCACTTCGGCACCTCAAAACACGTCTCCTCCCCTCTCCGCCTCTCCCATCTCTCCTCTCCCTATATCCTCTCTTTCTCCTTCCCTTTTCTCACCAGGTGTGTCAGCCCAACGCCCAGGCGCCTCTTCCTCCCGACCAGCTATGCTCCCCATGCACTGCAGACGACTACAGTAGCTTCGAGCAAAGCTGCACCGACAGCGCGGGCAACCACAACGTCTCCTACTCTTGGAACCTGCCCAAAAACTGCAGCGAGAACCTGCCCGGAGCGGCGAAACTGCCTGAAAATATCATTGTTGGAGAGTGCCTGTTCCAGGTTCGTTACATCCCGGCGAAATACCTCGCTCCGAAATACATAATCATCACAGCGGCTGGAGCTACTATAATTGTGATGCTGGCGGTGATGTCGGTGGTAACCTGGTTACGCAGCAGGAGAGTGTATTCTATGTACTCCCAGCTGGTAGCAGAGGAAGTGCAGCTTGAGGCGGAACTGGCAGCCATGGCAGAGGAGGCAGACCAGGAGAGAGAAGATATGCTTTTCAACAGAGACCGTAGTTACTCATCATAACATGGAGTCTTATAAAGAGGATAAGGCTGCAACGCAAGTCACCTGCAGCTGGTGGCAGAGGAAGTGCAGCTGGAGGCAGAACTGGCAGCCATGGCTGAGGAGGCAGACCAGGAGAGAGAAGATATGCTTTTCAACAGAGACCGTAGTTACTCATCATAACAAGGAGTCTTATAAAGAGGATAAGACTGTAAGGTGCGTTCAACTGGTAGCAGAGGAAGTTCAGCTGGAGGCAGAACTGGCAGCCATGGCTGAGGAGGCAGACCAGGAGAGGGAGGACATGCTTTTCAACCGAGACCGTAGTTACCCATCATAATGAGACGTCTTATAAGGAGGATAAGACTGTAAGGTGCGTGCAACTGGTAGCAGAGGAAGTTCAGCTGGTGGTAGATCTGGCAGCCATGGCTGGGGAGGCAGACCAAGAGAGGGAAGTCATGCTTTTTGGTCGAGACCCTAGCTACCCCTTATAACATGACGTCCTATAAGGAGGTTCATTCTCAAGGCACTTGCAGGTGGTGGCAGAGGAAGTGCAGGTGGAGGCAGAGCTGGGTTGCTATGGCTGAGGAGGCAGACAGGAAGAGGGTGGATACCGGTACCATGCCATGCTGTTCAACTGAGAACCATACTACACAGGTGGAGGACATGTGATTGCATTGACTTGTGATTGGATACCTTTTCAAAACACACCAGGTCACCAAACCCTTGTGCAGTTTAAGTGAGCACCCTCTTGCATCATATGGTACCACAGAAATCACAAGCTTTTCAAGAATTTCTTCAGCATGGATGGCAAATCACTCAAACGGCCACTTTTACTGTACATGGTTTGATATCCCAAATGATTGATTCCAAGTTCTGTTCATGCACTGTAGTCTTTGAACATCCCTGTACATCTGACACACCATGTCACTTCACATGCACCTTACAAATATCCTCATAATCAATCCTGGGAATCACCCTCCCATCGAACGCGCCCTTCTGAATTTCCACCTTCGCACAAAACCTCTCCGTATCAACCGCGACCAGCTTTGCCAAGGAACCTCTGTACGCCCCATTCACAACCCTCACCACCCCTCCAATTTGTGGCAGCACCGTTTCCAACTCCTCCTGATCCACCTTTAGCACATGCCCCTCCTCCAGCGTCTTAATCTCACCAACGTATCTATCAATCACTCGCAGCACCACGCCTTTCTGTTTATAATACCCTTTCTCCTTGAGCGCTTTACTCATTATCTTCACCACAATGCCCTCTGTAAGCCAGTAGTCCTTCCGATTCGCCCTCTCCTTTGCCCTCTCCTGCTCTTCCATTAACGCTGCTAGGGTTCCTCCGGCAGCAGGGCCACCACCTGATTTGGACCCTCCTTTATCCCCATTCTCCCCACCTCGCCTCGCCTTTTTCCCCACAGAACCCCCATTACCATCCCTATCAGCATCATCATTATCATCATCTTCTTCACCAAAAACCGGTGCTCCAGCTTTACTCTCCACCTGTAAGCCACAACCACCACCAACACCACCTGCTGCTGCGGCTGCTGCGCTGCTCCCTCCTGCTTTCTGACCCCCACCTGCCTTTTGCACTCCAGACGACCCACTCCCTCCACCTCCTCCCCCCAACCCCCCGAACGCAAACGCGATTTTCTCTCCCGCGTTGGGATCACGCTGAAGGACCTTCTTCTCCGGATCCGCATTTTTCGCCTCCGCATCCTCCGGCTGCGGCTGCTTCGATCTCGCCCGTTCGATCTGCTCCTGAATCTCCTTCTCGTGTCGCTCCTCCCCCACCAGCTCCGCGCGTTCCCGCTTCTTCTTCTGCCCTTCCTTGAACAGCGTTTCCGGCTCGCGATCGATGTACGAGATGAACCAGCCCTTGGGAGTGTCCTCGACTTTGCAGAGACCTTCTCGGCCGAGATGCTTGACGAATTCCGTTAACGTCAGCCACTTGGTGGAGTTCATGTGCACGTGGTGCCGGTCCGCGATGTACTCGTTATAAGCCACCGTCGCGGCCACGCGGCTGAACCTGTGACTACGTCGAATGTGCTCCATGAAAGTTTTCTCAAACTCCTCGGAATAACCTCCCACGAATCGCTCCGGGTTCATACCGAAAACCTGCATCTGCCGTTGATGGCCTTCCGACATGCAGTGGCACTTGAAGCCATTCTCGTCGCGGCACTGCTTCTGACACATCTGGCAGTACCACCGCAGCTTCTGCAGTCCCTTGGCTTTAATTCGATTCGCGATGGCCTTCGGCGTAAGAAACTCGTTCTTACCCATGGCTGCTTATCTCGCAGAGTACAACCAGTTGCCTCGACTTTTTGGTGCCTTAACCTGGAAAGGAAGAGACACACTCCTGATGCTATTGCGGAATAAGACCAGTCCTCCAGCGATGGAAAAGTACGAGCGGCAATGACGGCGATTCGAATCGACAAAGGTATCAGTTTCGTGTCTCGCGCTAGAAGATAGTCTTTACAGGCGACACGAAGGACGTGTTGAAACCAGGCATGCAGAAAGGCACGTAATGAGAGAGGAAGGTTAGGCGGTGAAATAACTAGAGAGGAAGCTTCTAGAAGTTGAATGCAAGCAAAGGACATTCGCAGTTCGCCTTTTCAATGAAACTCCAAGGTTCTCAACACAAGGGGTGTTCAGTAGGGTCGGCTGAACTCGCTGCGGGGCTACCAGGAAAATGACATTTGTACTGACAACGAAAATATCGAGGTGACGCAATGAGCGTAATAAGTGAACCTTTTTGCAGGATGTCATGACACCTAGTGCTGAAATGTGAACCTTTTGTTTCAACGCGCAGGGCTGAATTTGAACCCCGAGTACGACTTTCTCGCTCATTCTCCACCTTGTTCGATCTAGAAACACGCAGCGTCCATTTGTGACTGCAACAGCAGATTATTTCAGCGCTCAACCAGGACTTGCAATACACACACTGCATAAACTTCAGCCACCTACGCATAATTATATTTCGAGCTAGGAGCAGCCCGAGCACCGCGACTACTTTGTACCTTTGAAAAGCCTTGAAGCTCGAAAGAAGCTGGTTAACCGTTGACCAGATCTTTTCGAAGGCGGTCAAAACCCTTTTAGATTCGCCTCAGTCTTCGAACACACTCATCTTTTCTCAGCAGATATGCGCGCCGAGCCTGGTGATCCAGGATCGCAGAGCAGAGAAAGTGATGAACGCATCGCCGCTGCTACTAGCGCGGCTGGCGCTGGTGGTTCCGTGTTCGTGACGGTGGGTACGACGCGGTTCGACGCGCTGGTAGAAGTGGTGGACAGCCGTGAATGCCGCGCTGCGCTGAAGCAGCGCGGGTTCACATCCGTGGTGGTGCAGCGGGGGCGAGGCACGTACAAACCAGCCGAGGTATGCGCTGGCGAGGGATCTCTCTTTATTTTGCACCTCTGAGAGTGTAGCGAGCCCGCAGAGCAGAGCATTCTCGAGCAGCGCGGGTTCACATCCGTGGTGGTGCAGCGAGGACGAGGGACGTACATACAAGCCGGCTGAGGTATGCGCGGTAAGGCACACACAAGCGTGGATATGGGCCGCTGAGGTATGTGCGGCGCTGAAGCAGCGAACGCCGCAGGCAGCTCTTTCGAACAGCGTAAGGCTTTTCTTGGTCCTCGAGTTCGCTGCAGCGATTTCCAAGAATTTTTTTAGAGAGCTCTTGAAAAGCATGGCTTCGCCCCGGTGTTGGTGCAGAGGGAGCGAGGGATTGGACTGATGTGACTCTAACGAGTTTCCAGCGTGAATTTCTGTGTTTTTTTGTGGTCTCTGCTCTGCTACACCTCGTTGTCTGTCAAGATGGCAGGGCGACCCTGACAGCACGGGTGTGACAGTAACGAGCTTCGAGTTTGCTCCGTCTATGGCACCCTACATCGAGCAAGCATCCCTCGTTATAAGCCACGCAGGTGAGCGAGCAAATCATGTTACAGGCCACGCAGGTGAGCAAACAAATCATTTTACAGGCCACGCAGGTGAGCAAACATCCTCGTTATAAGCCACACAAGTAAACTTACTAGCTCGCATTCAAAGCCATGCAGGCCGGCAGGGAGAGAGAGGAACGTCTGTGCTTTCTCTCGCGTTCTTTCACGTTCTTTCATCTCCACGCCACACTGTGCCGTGGTGGTGTGACGTGTCTTCTGAGTTAACTCAAAAATCTTGCGCTGCTGGCCGTTACTGAGTTGTGAGCTGGTATGGTAGGGGCGCTGAGACACATGCAGGCAGGCGGTACCTGGTGCAGGCCACACGTGTGAGTGACCCATCCCGCCTCTCCTCCACCCCCTCTTCTTTTTTTCTCCTCCCCTCCCTTCCCTCCCGTCCGTCCGTCCCCCCTCCCCACTTCATTCTCTCGCCCCTTCCCCCCCACCGTGTTATGCCCCCCTCCCCCTCCCCCTCCACGGTCCCTCCAGGCTCAGGCAGCATATTCGAGGCGCTGAGAGCAAGCAAGCGGCTGGTGGTGGTGGTGAACGGGGCTCTCATGGACAACCACCAGCGGGAGCTCGCAGGGGCGCTCGCAGACAGGCACCACCTGGTGCAGACGGTACCTGAGAGCCTGGTTGCTACAGTGAAGGAGATGGATTTGGAAGGGCTCGTGCCGTACCCACCACCGGAGGCTGAGAAGTATGCTCAATCGATAGATGAGTTTCTGGGGTTTTGAGTTGACTCAAAAGGCATGTGGTACAGGCCGCGGACTGGCGCAGGTAGTATACAGGCAGCACCTCGTGCAGGCGGTACCTGAGAGCCTAGTTGCTAGAGCGCGGGAGATGGATTTGGACAGGCTTGTGCCATACCCACCACCGGAGGCTGAGAAGTATGCCCAAGCGATAGATGAGTTTTTGGGGTTTTGAGAGGCATCTGATGCAGGCAGCATGTGGTGCAGGCAGCATGTGGTGCAGGCAACACATGGTGCAAGCAGCACCTGGTGCAGGCAGCACCTGGTGCAGGCAGCACCTGGTGCAGGCAGTACTTGCCAGCCTGGCATGTACAGTGAGGGAGATGGATTTCGAGAAGGACGCTCGAGCGCTGAATGAGTTTCTGGGGTTCGCGTAGAGGAGGTTCTTTCTTTTAGAAACGTTTGTAAGTCGGATGCATTGAGATAAGTTTCTTGTAGAAGGTACTTACCGGTATGGTAGGTGTTACCGTATTGGGTTTGCCTTCTTGCGATTCAGAAACATAGCTGTATAGTTATAGCATGTTCTTTCAAAAGCTAATACTGGTACAAATCGCGGTGGAAGATGCTCGCATTGATAGAGGGGAAATACTTGGGGAAATGCTTTATTCAAAAGCTAATACGTATCGTACCTCATACTCTGCATGGCTGCAGCAGGCATAATATGCTGCTCAAGCCAACTTGCTGAGGGGCTGCAGCGTGTATGATGAACTAACCACCCTTCAGAATAAAGCATTGTTGCGCTTAGTCACCATACGGATTATGGTCTTGCATGCACCATAGATAGATGCAATCATTGTTGTAGTATTATCGAGCGCAGTACAGCTCAGGTTTATCTGCCCCCTCCTGTACCTTACGAGTGAATCGCATGAGAAGGGTCTCCACTGATTGGCCGGGCCCCTGTAGATCACTGCAGGGGGACGTGCGATGAAGAGAGATGAAGAGAGATGAGAACAGATGAGGAGAGACGAGGAGAGACGAGTGAATCGCATGAGAAGGGTCTCCACTGATTGGCTGAAGAATGGAGGATGCATGGGGATGGGGGATGCATGGGGATAGGAGATGCATGGGGATATGGGATGCATGGGGATATGGGATGCATGGGGATATGGGATGCATGGGGATATGGGATGCATGGGGATATGGGATGCATGGGGATATGGGATGCATGGGGAGAGGGGATGCATGGGCAGAGGGAAGAGGAGAAAAGTGGATGGGCGGAGAGTGAATCGCATCAGAAGGGTCTCCACTGATTGGCCCGGGCCCTGTAGGTCACTGCAGTGGTGAGGTGGGACGTTTGGGGGAAAGGGTGAATGCGCACAGAGTACAGTTCAGGTTTATCGCATCAGAAAGGTCTCCACTGATTGGCTGGGGCCCTGTAGGTCACTGCAGTGGGACGTGACGTTTGAGGAAAGGTGGTGTATGGGGAGAGGGGAGATAGGAGGAGAACAACCGGAGAAATTAGTGATAGTAAGAAGAGGAGGGGGGGATCACAGGGGGTGCATGCATGCATGTAGGAACACACATGCATGCCCTGAGCATGTACACGAGGTAGGGAGTTGACTTTTGAGTCGACTCAATAGTGAGTAGAGGAGGGGGGGATCACAGGGGTGCATGCATACATGTAGCACCACACAGGCATGCCCTAAGCACGTACACGAGGTAGGGTTCAAGGTCTCCCAACGCCCACATGGGCTGCACACTGAACTGTATGTTTTTTGAAAATTATCACCACACATACCCACATGCCTGAGGTACATACACGAGATGCCGCTCCAGATCCCCCAGCGTCCACATGGGCTGCACATTAAACAGCGCCTGGAAGCGATGCTCTGCCGTGGCGTGACCAGCACGCTACTGGCTCTGCATGCCCACACCACTCCACTTTGCACCAGATACGTACACGAGGTAGGGCTCCAGATCCCCCAGTGCCCACATGGGCTGCACACCAAACAGCGCCTGGAAGCGGTGCTCTGCCGTGGCTGGCAGCTGGTCGCTTGGCAGATACTGCACCCACGTGCTCTGCGCCACTCCCACCATCCTGCCCCACAAGCCTGAGGTACGTACATGAGATAGGGTTCAAGGTCAGCAAGAGCCCACATGGGCTGCACGGTGAACAGCGCCTGGAAGCGATGCTCTGCCGTGGCTGGCAGCTGGTCACTCGGCAGGAAGCGCACCCACGTGCTCTGCACCCCTCCCAACGGCTCACACTCCTGTTCCTCCTCCGATTTCCCAGCTGCTGTCGCTGCAGCTGTCACTGCCGCTGCCGCGGCGGCTGCTGCTGCTGGTCCTCCCACGTGCTGTAGGATTGCCAGGCCTCTCAGCCACGTGGCGTCCAGTGATTGGGCCATGGCGGGTGGGACCTTCTTTACCCATGCTTCCATGAATGCAGAGAGGCGCCAGCGAGCGCCTGCGGGAGAGAGTTTGCATGGGGAGGTGAAGGCAGATTGAGGGATGGTGCACATAGGTTTACAGTGGTGTGAAGTGGTATAGCAATGGCGGGTGGGACATTGTTTGCCCATGCTTCCATGAATGCAGAGAGACGCCAACGCGTGCCTGCAGGAGAGGGTTAGCATGAGAGGTCGAGGAATGGGGCACATGGGTTTAGAGGGGTGTGACGTGGTATTGCAGTGGTGGGATGCACCTTCTTTGCCCATGCTTCCATAAATGCAGAGAGGCACCAACGCGTGCCTACAGAGGTTCGTGTGAGGGAGGAGGGGCGAGGTGGATAAAGAGAGTGTGGAGGTATCGCGATTGGACCACGGTGGCGGGTGGGACCTTCTTATCCAGTGCGTGTATGAGTTGCAGAGAGGCGCCGACGAGGTGACTTTTGAGTCGACTCAAAAGTCATGAGTGCAGAGAGGCGCCAACGACGTGTGCCTGAAGGAGGGGGTTTGCATGGGGAGGTGAAGGCAGATTGAAGGATGGTGCACATGGGTTTAGAGGGGTGTGAAGTCACAGGTTTAGCAATGGTGGGTGGGACCTTCGTTTCCAGTGCGTGCATGTGCGTGCAGAGAGGCGGCAGAGGGTGCATGGGAGAGGTGCATGGGAGAGGTGCATGGGAGAGGTGCATGGGAGAGGTGCATGGGAGAGGTGCATGGGAGAGGTGCATGGGAGAGGTGTATGGGGAGGAAGGTAAGGAATTCGGGCGTGGGCAGTGCATGCAACGAGAGGCACGTTCTTCATCCATGCGTGCATGAATGCAGAGAGGCGCCAATGAGTGCCTGGGAGAGGTGCATGTGAGGAAGGTAAGAGATTGGGGCGTGTGCATGTAATGAGATGAGAGGCACGTTCTTCACCCATGCTTCATGCATGTGTTTGAAGAAGCGTTTTGAGACGTCTCAAAAAACGTCTTCATACACGTCTCAAAAGTCAACATGCAATGAGAGGCCCGTTCCTCACCCTTGCTTCGTGCATGCGTGTTCAAGTCGACTCTAACACACAAGGGAAGTGACGGGGGAGGGGAGCGTGGTACTTTAGCAACAGCTGCAATGCAATGCGGACTCAGGGTTTTCAGGGGTATGTTTTTTGAGAATTCTCAGGAAACATATGTGACGGGGGAGGGGAGCATGGTACCTAGCAGCTGCAATGCAATGCGGACTCAGTGTTTCAGGGGGTTTAAGGGTCAGTGGAAGGGACGTGAGTGGGAGAGAGGTACCTGATTCCAGCAGCTGCCTGGCATAGTGGCGACACACCTTGCACTCATCCATGTGAAGGTGAGAGGTTTAGCGTCTTAGGGGTTTAGGGGTAAGGAAAAGGGAAGTGCGGCGGGAAAGGGGGTGGGTACCTGATTCCAACAGCTGCCTGGCATAGTGGCGACACACCTTGCACTCATCCATGTGAAGGTGAGAGGTTTAGCGTCTTAGGGGTTTAGGGGTAAGGTAAAGGGAAGTGCGGCGGGAAAGGGGGTGGGTACCTGATTCCAACAGCTGCCTGGCATAGTGGCGACACACCTTGCACTCATCCAACTCCCACCACACACACTCCCCCCCTTTCCCTCCTCCACCCTCCCCTCCCCCTCCTCTTCCACGCTCTTCATCCTCCTTCCCATCCCTTCCTCTAATACCTCTTTCCATCTCTCCATCGTCCCCGTCCCCCACACTCCCCCCCACTCTGACGCTCCTCGCCTCCTCCCACTCCTCTCTCCTCCCCTTCCTCCTCCGCTTACCAAACACCTTCAGACAGTGCCTCACCAGCTCTGCCCTCGGACCCTCCCTCCTCTCCCCCTCCCTCGCTCCCCCTTCCCCCGTTCCCCCCTCCCCCGCTTCCCCACACATGGCAGCCACAGCAGCAGCCTCGGGAATGGCACGTGGCGGCCAGTCATTGGCTGCTGCTGTGAGCAGCAGGAGGTGGAGGAGCAAGGCGAGGTATCCGGGGTCGACTCCGCGCCACGTGTCACCAATCTATTGGTCGAGAGCACAAGGAGGTGGGCGAGCCAGGGGATGAGTTCGAGAATGACTTTCCGCAAAACAGAATTCACAGACAATCCAGGAACACCTAAACATTGCGTGATTTGATCGCAAAAACTCCAATCGGAATTCAATCGCTTCTGCATGAGGGGGCAGAGTGGATTCCCGACTAGTTTTGTTTGAGGACACTCTGCCCCCTCATGCAGACTCAAGACTAGACTCCTCAAGAATGGAAACTGGGTGAGAAGAAAGGAGCGAGGAGAAGAACGAGAGGTGTGGGGGGAAAGACCCAGGCGGAAACAAGCAAACACTTGGCATTTCTGAACAAGAGGTTCAAGACTGGCGAGTTGTCTAAAGCTTGTTCTCATGCAAGGCGTTAAAGCTTGTTCTCATGCAAGGCGTTAAAGCTTGAATAGGCGCCCACGCCCTGCTCCATTCTTTAAACATGGACTCCCAGCCAATACCTTGTACCATTACCCACCTTGCACCGCTCTCCACCCACCTTCACGGCACCAGCAGCCTCCAAGCCAGCTCGAATCTCTTCCTCACTCGCTTGCACCCGACCAACCAGCTCCTGCCACGTGTACCCTTTCTGTCTCCCCCTCTTCTCTATACCTCCCTCTCCTACACCCTCCCTGGCTCCATTATACATTCCTCCTCCCATCCCACCAGCTCCTCTCCTCCCACCTCCTCCCTCTCCCTCCTCGCCCTCCCCTTCACCCCCTCTCAGCTCCTCCTCCTCGTCCCGCTCGTTATAAGCACATGCAGACAGCAGGTGGGTCAGCCGGGCCAGCCGAGGCGCCACGGGAACAACCTCCAGGTGGCTGGACGCAACTGCTGCTGCAGTCACCCTCGGTATTGTCACATTTTGAAGCTTCTCGTCTTGAATATCAACATTTTCGCTGGAGTCTTCCATTGCAATTTCAGGTGTCTTTTCAGGCGTTTCTTCAGATGTTTTTTCAGGTGTGTTTTCATCATGTGGAGGGACGAGGAGCAGCAGGTTGGTGGTGGTAACCAGCTTGAGAGCGAAGGTGCTGCTGCGAGTGCATAGAACCGCCTCGTCCCCTTCTTCTGGTGTACCCTTTATAACCAGCCTGCGATCTCGTCTTGCACGCGATGAGGTGTAGCAAAGATAGGGCAAGAGGAGGTGCGGTGCTTATAACGAGGTGAGAATGAGAAAAACGTCAACAGCCAGGGAGGAGTGAGAGAACGGGTAGGTCAGGGAGTGAGCATGCCAAATGACATACCAACGGGGTCACAACACATCTGGCTGCTGCTAATCGTTTATCTCACAGGGTGCAGCAGCAGCAGCTGCTCTGCTCCCTCTGAGCCACACTCCACACTATCCCCACCTCACCCGTCGCCCAGCAGCTCTGCCAGAATCGACTCGTCCACTTCCAGAAGATATCACCCCCACCTCCCCCCCCCCCCCCCCCCCCCCCCCCCCCCCCCCCCCCCCCCCCCCCCTTTTATTCTGCTTGTAAGTCATACGCCACACACCACATCACCCCACCTCACCCGTCGCCCAGCAGCTCCGCCAGAATCGACTCGTCCACTTCCTGAAGCAATCATTCCCCCTTCCCCACCCTCTTACTAAGCCATACGCCACTCAACACACCATATCACTCGCCCCGCCTTACCCACCCTCCCACATTATTCGACCGCCCAGCCCCCCCCCCGCCCTCACCCGTCGCTCAGCAGCTCCGCCAGCATCGACCCGTCAACTTCCAGAAGCTATCACTCCCATCCCACTCCGCACTCGCCTTGTAACCCGATCGCCACACAACGCACCTCACACGACCCGTCAACTTGAAGAATCTTCAGCTCCCCCCTGTTCCACACCACAGTCTCCTTGTGAGCCATACGCCACACAACATACCCCACACCACCCGCCCCCCTTTCTTCCTGCCCTCACCCGTCGCGCAGCAGTTCCGCCAGCATCGACTCGTCCACTTCCAGAAGCTATCACTCCTGCCTCTCCCCTCCGCTGCTCTAAGCCATACGCCGCACGACACACCCCATACCCCCCCCCCCCCCCCCCCCCCCCCCCCCCCTCCCCCCATCCCCCCTCACCCGTCGCGCAGCAGCTCCGCCAACATCGACTCGTCAACTTCCAGAAGCTTCAGCTCCCCCCCGTCCGACCCCGCCCCGCCTCCCCCGCCACCGTTTCCCCCTGCGCCCGCTGCGCGCGTCTCCTGCTGCAGGAACGGCAGCAGCGAATCACGGCACGCCAGCTGGACGCTGTCGCCGACGGACATGCTGTTCAGGCGGTCCGCCATGGCGCTGCTTCTAGGATGAACGTACGGGGTCGACGAAGAGTTACTCGACTCGATTCAAAACATGTCGCCGACGGACATGTGGCACAGGCGGTCCGTCATGGCGCTGCTAAAATGAACGCTGTGAATGCTGCGAGATCGACGGTGTGAATGCTGCGTCGACTCGAAACATGTCGTTACTGCTCGGACATGTGGCGGCACAGGTGGTCCGCCATGGCGCGACTAGGACGAACCTGCGTCGACGGAGTTATGTGTGCGGAAAGGAACTCGCTTCGCTACAGTTGACTTCGCTAAGCTGAAAAAGTGAGGTTACTTTTTTGACGCGATACACTAACAGAACGAGCGCGCGAAATACGTGTGCGAGGTGATGCAGCGAGACAAGAGCTCGGTGCATGCGAAAGCAGAGTTGCGAAGCAAGTTGGCGAATGACTGTGTTGATCTGTACTCGATACAAGCTCCTTTGTTATCGGCTTTAATACACCCTCAACACACTGAACTTGTGGGTACTCGATAGATTTTCTTGCTTTTTAATAGAAGGAAGTTATCTAACTCATGCATGACTTATCGTTCTTCTATGTGTCAAGTATGCACATTTACATCTTCATAAGTGCTCCACTATATCTCAACTGCCCGTCTTACAGCCATCTCTACGTCACAGGTCCAAATCACCACAAGGCCATCACAGCAATCACCGTGATTTCGTTTTCTTCACCAGCCGCCATAACCTACCGTCTCTCCTCCATTTCAATCTTTTCTGCTTCCACCCTCATCCTCATCGCCATCACCATCCCTTCATTCCACTCACCAACTGCCCATACCATCACACACTCTTGCCTCCATCCTATCGCCTCTCCTCCATTTCAATCTCTTCAATATCATCATGGTCTCCATCCTCATCCTCCTCCCCATCACCATCATCATCATCAGCAGCAGCAGCTGCAGCGGCAGCAGCAGCCAAAGCAGCCTGCTGTGCCTCAACATTCACCCCCATGTCCCCCCCGGCACCCCCAGCTCCCCCAAAGTCGTTCCACGGTAGCATCGCCTCTAGAAATACCATCAGTGGGTTCCGCCCTGCTAGATCCACCTGCTGCCCTTGCCCGGCCCCTCCTCCCCCTGCCCCTCCCCCTGCCCCTCCTGCACCAATTCCCCCTCCTCCTCCCCCTCCACCTCCCCCTCCGCCGCCCCCACCCCCACCAGCAGCACCAGCGCCTGCACCAATCAAGAAGCCGAGGCCGTGGGCTCCCGGGCGGCGCTGACGGCCGGCTTCGTCTTCTTGCATCGCCATGAGCTCCTCGGGCGGCAGAGTGGGGGCGGCGTCGGAAAAGTCGGATAGCAGCAGGTGGCGGTATCTGTGAGCGCCGTGATTGGCGGAGGGGGGGAAGAGGGAGCTGTAAGAAAGGAGAGCGGCAGAGACATGAGGCCAACTAACGAGAAGTGACGCATGAGACGAACACATCAGGCACGAGCAATCGATGCCCTTAACTTCCCAAACCCAGCCCTTGAACCACTGAGATTTGAACCCGGAACCAGCACTGACGCGTTCACCTCAGACAGGAAAGACACCTCCTGCACGCATTTCCAGCTCCCCATCTCCCCGTTCCCTCCGCCCTCCCTCTGCAAAGGCTAATCCCAACAAACCCAGCACAGAATGCCTACAAGTTGAAGCCAGGACTCACGCGTTAACGCCTGATGGAAACGACACCTTCCGGACACACTTCCAGCTCTCCATCTCGCCATCCCCGCCGCCCTCCCCCTCCCTCTATAAAGGCTAATACCAACCATTTCAGCACGGAATACCAGAGAAATGAACCAGGACTCACGCGTTAACGCCTGATGGGAAGGACACCTCTCGCACGCACTTCCAGCTCTCCATCATTCCGTCCCCTCCGCCCTCCCTCCTCTCCCTCTGTAAAGGCTACTCCCAACCAACCCAGCACGGAATACCTGAGAATTGAACCTTAGTTGGAATATACGCGTTTCATACGCTAGCGTTTATCCGCTAGCGCATAAACGCTGAACGCTTCTTGGGAGGCTTCCTGTACGCAGTGAATACGCAGGCCCGGGCACCTAAATTTTTTTCCCGGGCAGTTGTTTGGTCTTTAGCGGGGGATGGGCGAGGTGCAAAGCACGAAGTTGGTGCCCGCAGTCTAGTCATACTCGTTGAGAAGTATCAAGTTGGCGAGATCGAGATGAAACGAAATGTAGAAATGTCGAGATTAGGGCTGACTGGCTGGTAAGCAGCGTGGGGTTTGTTGGGGGGGTGGTTCTGGACAGGTTGGAGTTCGTAGATGTTATGGGTTCCAGTGCGGTACTAATATGAGATTCAACATTTCGATTCCCAGACATGCCTCCCAACTTCGAAGTCACATTTCCGCTTGCCTAGACCACCGATTAGCATTTCGACTTTCGCGAAATGCTCACGAAGAAATTCCGCACCTATTCCGCGATTTTTTTTCGGGCAGCCCTAAAACTTTTCTGACTGCGTATTGCGTATTCCCTAGCGTTTTGCGTATAGCGTTAAAACGCAAGCGTATAAACGCGATACGCTTGAGGCTCTGAGCGTATACTCCAACTTAGAATTGAACCAGGACTCACGCGTTAGCGCCTGATGAAAACGACACCTCTCGCACGCACTTCCAGCTCTCCATCTCCCCGTCCCCTCCGCCTGCCCGCCTCTCCCTCTCCACCGTCGCCACCACGTCACCCGCCACCCGCTTCAGCAGCGTTTGCACGCCCTCCCCCCGCCACAGCACAGCACTGCGCTCCACGTACAGCCGCACCAGATGCTCCAATGACGCGCTGCCAGGTGTCGTCTTGGCGAAGAGCGGGTGCTTCAAGATCTGGGCCCACGAAGAGTCGGTCTTGATCGGAGCCTTCTCTACCAGCCCCTTGAGCACGTACCTGGTGGGAGGAGGGGGAAGGGGAGGAAGGGAGAAAGGGAGGGGGGAGGCAAGGATGGGAAAGGGGGAGGAGGGGAATGGTTACTAGAGGGACGGTTCTTCTTAAGCAGCGCCTGCACGCCCTCCCCCCCGCCACAGCACGGCACTGCGCTTTACGTACAGCCGTAGAGGAGGGGAGGGGAGGAACAGAGGGGAGCCTCCACGTACAGCCGCACCAGATGCTCCAATGTCGCGCTGCCAGGTGTCGTCCTGGCAAAGAGCGGGTGCTTAAGAATGGACGTCCAGGATGCGTCGGTCTTGATCGGGGCCTTCTCTACCAGCCCATTGAGGACGTAGCTGGCGGGGGGGAGGGGGGGAGGGAGGAGGGGAGGGGAGAGGTGTGGAATTCAGAGGAAGAGGGGAGGGGAGAGATCTTGATCGGGGCCTTCTCTACCAGCCCTTTGAGCACGTAGCTGTGGGGAAGGAGGGGAGGGGAGGAGGGGAGGGGAGGGGAGAGGTGTGGAATTCAGGGGAAGATGAGAATGGACGTCCAGGATGCGTTGGTCTTGATCTGAATTCCAGCCGACGCGTTGGCTGATGCGTCGGCCTTCTCTAGCATCCCGTTGAGGACGTATCTGGTGGGAGGAGGGGAAGCGAGGAGGGGGGGATGGGAGGATGAGAAGAAGGGCGGAGGGGAGGAGGGAAGGAGGGGAGGGGGGAAGGAGGGGAGGGGGGAAAGAAGGGAAGGGGGAAGGAGGGGAAGATGGAAAGAGGGGAGGAGGGGAGGAGGGGAGGAGGGGAGGAGGGGAGGAGGGGAGGAAGGGTGGAAAGGGGAGCGGTCGTGGAGGTGATGCATAAAGCTGAAAAGCTGTCCCATGACATTACGAGAGCAGTGGGCGATAAACAGGAGGTGAAAGCGGGCTCTCTCAGACACCATGCAATGCAAACTACCTGGCAAGCAGCAGATCGGGCTGCCCTGCACTGCACTGCACCGCACCGCACTGCACCGCGCCGCACCGCACTGCACTGCACTGCAACCCCTAAGGATTCAAAGAATGGCGGGAGACTGAGGCACGAAACTTACGGGTGGAGGAAGAGAGCATCGCGCAGGAGAGACGCGGCGTCAGGAGCAGCAGCAGCAGCAGCGGCGGTGGCAACCGTACGGTTCCTTCCAGCTGGCGCCACGCCATTGGTTGCCTCCCCACTCCCCTCCCCTCCCTCTCCATCCCCCTTGGCCTCCCCAAGCCTCGCCTGGGCCAGAGCGAAGCAGAAGTTTGGCAGCACCGCCAGTGACGTGTCGCCCCCCCATTGGTCCACGAAATCATGCAGCCAGGTGAACTGGCGCGCTCTAAGGGCGTAGAAGTCTATGCACTGATGGATGGGTGAGGGTTAGGGTTAGGGTGAGGGTGAGGGTGAGGGTGAGGGTGAGGGTGAGGGTGAGGGTGAGGGTGAGGGTGAGGGTGAGGGTGAGGGTAGGGGTGCAACAAGAGGGAGCGAGAAAGGAGCATGGGGAAAACAGAGCAGAGAGGTCGTGCAGCCAGGTGAATTGGCGCGCCTTGAGAGCATAGAAGTCTATGCACTGGTGGGTGGGAGGGTGAGGGTAGGGGTACAAGTGGGAGAGAGAAAGGAGCATGGGGAAAACAGAGCAGAGAGGTCGTGCAGCCGTGCAGAACAAGGGTGGGGGAAGAGGAGGAGAGAGGAGCGGGCGTTGGGGGGGTGGTTGCAATGCAATGCAACAAAGGAGCATGGAGGAGAAAGAGCCGTGAAAAATTGTGCAGCCAGGTGGGCTGGCGTGCTCTGGGAGAATAGAAGTCTATCTGTGCAATGATGGATGGGTGGGAGGGGAAAGGGGTGAGGGCGGGGGACAGGGGGGTGGGGATGGGAGAGGAGGTGAGTGTTCTGAGAGCGTAGGAGAGTGGGGAGGTGTGATGGGTGAGGGGAGTTGTCGGGGTGGGAGGTTGGGGGTTGAGCGAGGGGGAAAAGGGGGTTGAGCGTGGGGGAAAAGGGGGTTGAGCGTGGGGGAAAAGGGGGTTGAGCGTGGGGGAAAAGGGGTTGAGCGAGGGGGAAAAGGGGGTTGAGCGTGGGGGAAAAGGGAGTTGAGCGTGGGGGAAAAGGGGGTTGAGCGTGGGGGAAAAGGGGGTTGAGCGTGGGGGAAAAGGGGGTTGAGCGTGGGGGAAAAGGGGGTTGAGCGAGGGGGAAAAGGGGGTTGAGCGTGGGGGAAAAGGGGGTTGAGCGTGGGGGAAAAGGGGGTTGAGCGTGGGGGAAAAGGGGGTTGGGGGGGAGGGGGGATAAGGGAGGCAGGGAGAGGAGGTGAGCTGGCGTGCTCTGAGAGCAAAGATGGGTGGAGGACACTGGGAAAGGAGAAAGCCAGAATGTGGAAAAAGAGAGGGGAAGGACTGGGGACAGTATAAGCTGTGCAAACAGTTACCTGCAGAGCACCTATGGGGTCGGTGTCGGGTCAAGCGAGAGCAGCAAACGGCAGGGGAGAGCTCAAAGGCAGCGCGGTGGCAGCCCCTGCGTCCCCCTGACAGCAGATAGGCAGCACCTAGCAGAGAAGAGTCAGCCACACCCACCCACCTGCAGGGCACCGAGCGGGTCGGTGTCCGGGTCTAATGAGAGCAGCGGCTAAGTTGGAGTATACGCTCAGAGCCTCAAGCGTATCGCGTTTATACGCTTGCGTTTTAACGCTATACGCAAAACGCTAGGGAATACGCAATACGCAGTCAGAAAAGTTTTAGGGCTGCCCGAAAAAAAATCGCGGAATAGGTGCGGAATTTCTTCGTGAGCATTTCGCGAAAGTCGAAATGCTAATCGGTGGTCTAGGCAAGCGGAAATGTGACTTCGAAGTTGGGAGGCATGTCTGGGAATCGAAATGTTGAATCTCATATTAGTACCGCACTGGAACCCATAACATCTACGAACTCCAACCTGTCCAGAACCACCCCCCCAACAAACCCCACGCTGCTTACCAGCCAGTCAGCCCTAATCTCGACATTTCTACATTTCGTTTCATCTCGATCTCGCCGACTTGATACTTCTCAACGAGTATGACTAGACTGCGGGCACCAACTTCGTGCTTTGCACCTCGCCCATCCCCCGCTAAAGACCAAACAACTGCCCGGGAAAAAAATTTAGGTGCCCGGGCCTGCGTATTCACTGCGTACAGGAAGCCTCCCAAGAAGCGTTCAGCGTTTATGCGCTAGCGGATAAACGCTAGCGTATGAAACGCGAAACGCGTATATTCCAACTAAGAGCAGCAGGCGGCAGAGCTCAAAGGCAGCGCGGTGGCAGCCCCTGTGAGCCCTCTAGGGTAGACAGGCTGCACGCAACACTCACAAGACCAGCCCCACTCACCCACCCACCCACCTGGAGAGCGCCAAGGGGGTCGGTGTCAGGGTCGAGCGAGAGCAGCAGGCGGCAGAGCTCAAAGGCAGCACGGTGGCAGCCCCTGCGGCCCACTGACAGCAGATAGGCAGCACCTAGCAGAGAAGAGTCAGCCACACCCACCCACCTGCAGGGCACCGAGCGGGTCGGTGTCCGGGTCTAATGAGAGCAGCAGGCGGCAGAGCTCAAAGGCAGCGCGGTGGCAGCCCCTGCGTCCCACGTGGTGCATGTGGCGAAAAAGCGCGTCAAAGAGCGCACGGTTGGGCTCGTGGGAAAACTCCAAGCTGGGGGCGGGAGGGAATGGGACAGGCAAAGCAAACAGTGCTTCAAGACATGAGACACAGGGGGTGGGGAGGAGGCACCGGGATGAGAGAAGAACGGCAGCCCATGCAGCCCCCTGCGACCCACGTGGTGCATGTGACGGAAGAGAGCATCGAAGAGCGCCCTGTTGGGCTCGTGGGCGAAGTCCAAGCTGGTTGGGGGAGAAAAGAGAGGGTGAAAGGCGCACGAGACGAAAATGGCAGCTCCAGCAGCCCCTGCGACCCATGTGGTGCATGTGACGGAAGAGAGCATCAAAGAGCGCTCGATTGGGCTCGTGGGAATTCTTCAGGCTGGCAGGGGGAAGGAGGGAGTGGGGAGGGAGGAAGGCACAGGGATGAGGCATGAACAGAGCCCCAGCGCCCAGAGGCACGCACACACACACACACAGACACACACACACACACACACGCACACAGACACAGACACAGACACACACACACACAGACACACACGCACAGACACAGACACACACACACACAGACACACACACACAGACACACACACACACACACAGACACACACACACAGACACAGACACACACACACAGAGACACACACACACAGACACAGACACACACACACACAGACACACACACACAGACACAGACACACACGCACACAGACACACGCGCAGACACACGCACACAGACACACACACACACACACACACACAGACACACACACACACACACACACACACACACACACACACACACACACACACACACACACACAGAGACACAGACACACAGACACACACATGCATGCATGCACCGTTATCGATGCTCACCGGCAAGTCCCCAGCGAAGGGGTTGAACCAACTAGGGATGCCACGCTGCTTCCAGTAGGAAGAGCGGCAATGAACGCTCAACTCTGCACACATACATATGCATGCATGCACAATCGTGCACTGCTTTGCACTCTCACTGACAAGTCCGGTTGAACCAGGGATGCCACGCTGCCTCCAGTAGGAAGAGTGCGAACGAGCGCTCCACCATGCTCACTCACACACATGCTGTTATGCACTCTCACCGGCATGTGCCCAGAGAGGGGTTGAACCAGGGATGCCACGCTGCCTCCAGAAGGAAGAGCGCCGATGAGCACTCAGGCATGTTCACACACGCATGCATGCACCGTCATGCACTCCCACTCACACACACTCTCACCGGCATGTGCCCAGAGAGGGGTTGAACCAGGGATGCCACGCTGCCTCCAGAAGGAAGAGCGCCGATGAGCACTCAGGCATGTTCACACACGCATGCATGCACCGTCATGCACTCCCACTCACACACACTCTCACCGGCATGTGCCCAGAGAGGGGTTGAACCAGGGATGCCACGCTGCCTCCAGCAGGAAGAGCGCTCTCTCAAGGAGGTCTGCTGATGTCTGCACCTCGCCCACCTGCCACGGGGAAGCATTGGGGAAGAGCAAGGGACGTTGGGAAAGAGATGAGGATGCACTAGCATGAACGCATGTGGCACAGGGTGCCTCCAGCACGGAAAGCGCTCTCTCAAGGAGGTCTGCTGATGTCTGCACCTCGCCCACCTGCCACGGGGAAGCATTGGGGAAGAGCAAGGGACGTTGGGAAAGAGATGAGCATGCACTAGAATGAACGCATGTGGCACAGGGTGCCTCCAGCACGGAAAGCGCTCTCTCAAGGAGGTCTGCTGATGTCTGCACCTCGCCCACCTGCCACGGGGAAGCATTGGGGAAGAGCAAGGGACGTTGGGAAAGAGATGAGCATGCACTAGAATGAACGCATGTGGCACAGGGTGCCTCCAGCACGGAAAGCGCTCTCTCAAGGAGGTCTGCTGATGTCTGCACCTCGCCCACCTGCCACGGGGAAGCATTGGGGAAGAGCAAGGGACGTTGGGAAAGAGATGAGCATGCACTAGCATGAACGCATGTGGCACAGGGTGCCTCCAGCACGGAAAGCGCTCTCTCAAGGAGGTCTGCTGATGTCTGCACCTCGCCCACCTGGGACGAGGACGAGAAAAGGGGGTTCGGAAAGAAAGGTGTGCGAGAATGGCGTACGAAAATGGGTGGGCGATGAGCACAGGATGAGGAGGGAGATGGGCAACCTCTAGGCTCAACCCTAGGCATGTGGTTGCACACGCTGATTCCAGCAGGTAGAGCCACAAAGAGCCCCAGCTGGTTGGGGCCGTGAGATGCCACCGCCTGCTCAAACAGGTGCTGCTCGCTGCTCGCTGCTTGCTGCTCGCTGCTTGCTGCTCGCTTCTTGCTGCTTGCTGCTCGCTGTTTGCTGCTCGCTTCTTGCTGCTTGCTGCTCGCTGCTTGCTGCTCGCTGCTTGCTGCTTGCTGCTCGCTGCTTGCTGCTCACTGCTTGCTGCTCGCTGCTCGCTGCTTGCTTCTTCTTCTTTTTTTTTTTTTTTTTTTTTTTTTGTTGGCTTGTACGACTCCGTCGTAACCCCGGGCCAGGGCTCGCTGCTTGCTGCTCGCTGCTTGCTGCTAGCACCAACCCTCGCACACACAGGTATCACGGTCACCCCACTTGCTTGTACACTTCAGAGAAAGCCAGCAACCCCTCCACGAGGTAGGAGAGAAGAGGTGTGCCACACAAAAACAGAGAGCCAACTAGATGACACATCACAGGTAGCCTGCTGCTACCACCACCAACCTCTCACTGGCTGGCTGCTATCCCTCGCGTCACACACGGACATCGTCTCACCTGCTTGTACACTTCGGAGAAAGCCATCAGACCCTCCACGTGGTAAGGATAGTGCACCACCCGCACATGCACAGGTATCATCTTACCTGCTTGTAAACCTCAGACAGAGCCAGCAACCCTTCCACGTGGTAGGGGCGGTGCGCCACAAAGAGCCCCAGCTGGTTGGGATCGTACGTTGTCATGGTCTGCTCAAACAGTTGCTGCTGGCTGCCACTAGCTCCCACCACCCGCACATGCACAGGTACCATCTCACCTGCTTGTACACTTCAGAGAGCGCTAGTAGAGCCTCCACGTGGTAGGGGTGGTGCGCCGCAAACAGCCCAAGCTGGTTGGGGTCGTGTGATGCCACCGTCCGCTCAAACAGGTGCTGCTTACTGCTTGCTGCTTGCTGCTTGCACCATCCTCGCACACACAGATATCACGGTCACCTCACCTGTTTGTAGACCTCTGACAGCGCCAACAGCGCCTCCACGTGGTAGGGGTGGTGAGCAACGAACAGAGCCAGCTGGTTGGGGTCGTGCGACGCCACTGTCTGCTCAATCAAACAGGTGCTGCTCGCTGCTTGCTGCTACCATACTCCACCACACCAGGCCACATCCCACCTGTTTGTACACTTCGGAGAGGGCCAACAGCCCCTCCACGTGGTAGGGGTGGTGGGCCACGAAGAGCCCAAGCTGGTTGGGGTCGTGCGAGGCCACCGTCTGCTCAAACAGGTGCTGCGCCGCGCGGTACGTGGCCGACCGCACATAGCGAAACACACGCACGGGGAGCGCCGGGAAAGCACAAGCCCCATCCACACCCCCAGCACCATCACCAGCAGCAGCACCAGCGGCAGCGGCAGCGACAGCGGCAGCAGGGCCAGTACCCTTGCTCTCGCGCACAAACTCCATAGTGAGCCCTTTCTCCGCCACTGCACCTGGCGGCCAGTGCTCCCTCTCCTGCACCAGCAACGCCCTCCTCCCCACACCCCCTCCCCCTCCCCCTCCCCCTCTCCCTCCCCCCCCTCCTCCACGCCTCCCCCGCACGCCTCCCCTCACACCCATCCCTCCTGCTCCTCCTGCGCCTCCTTCTCCGCCCCCTGCTTGCCTCTCCACCTGCCGGATCACCTTAGAGCCAAAGATGCGCTTCAGCTCGTCATCTGCTCGCAGGAACCGGGTCTCCACTGCTAGAAGCGGCCGCGCTGACGTCACAGGACCCCCCCCAGCTGCCGCTGCCGCTGCTGATGACGTCATAGAATCCGCTGGTGTCGCTACTGCTGCTGCTGCTGCTTGGCCCTCGATGGCAGCCAAAGCGCGCTCTATTTCAGTGTCTTCTCCTGCCCCTCCGACTCCCCCTCCACCTCGATCTAAGTTCCTCTGCTTCCCTCCCACTCCTCCTGTATCCTCTCCCCCTCCTCCCGTTCCTCCCTTCTTCTTCCCCTTCCCCTTCTTTTTCTTCTTGCCACTCTTCCGTTGCCTCTCCATCCGTCTACGCTCCTCCTCCTCCTCCTCCTCCGCCTCCTCCTCCCCTTCCCCTTCTTCCTCTTCCTCCTCATTCCGCTGCCCCTTCGCATCCCTGCTCTCACCGCCACCTGCAGTGCTCCCTTTCTCCTCTTCTTCCTCCTCCTCCACGCCTACCTCCGTCTCTCCCTCGCCCTGCCAACCACGAAAACGAAGGAAGAGAACCAAACCCGGGACCTTGGAGCAAATGAACAAGGGAAGCAGTTTGAGGGTGGCCTATCTCGTGCTTTACTCTAACGACACACGAGCCGACTTCGGAGTCGAATCGAAACGCACAAATAAAGCAGGTTGTGTTGTGGTTGTGGTTATGGCTTTGGAAAATTATAAGAGGCGTCACAACTAGGAGTGATAAGCAGAGGAAGCAGGTTGGCCGACGCTCATCTCGTGCTATCTCGTGCTGTACTCCTGCGTTGCACCAATCATGAATAAAAGCGGAGAGGCAGGGGACAACGGAGGTTTCCACACAATGTACACCACACGCAAGCTGTCGCCCAAGCTGTCGCCCAAGCTGTCGCCCAAGATGTCGCCCAAGCTGTCGCCCAAGCTGTCGCCCAAGCTGTCGCCCAAGCTGTCGCCCAAGCTGTCGCCCAGGCTGTCGCCCAAGCTGTCGCCCAAGCTGTCGCCCAAGCTGTCGCCCAAGCTGTCGCCCAAGCTGTCGCCCAAGCTGTCGCCCAATCTGTCGCCCAAGCTGTCGCCCAAGCTGTCGCCCAAGCTGTCGCTCAAGCTGTCGCTCAAGCTGTCGGTCAAGCTGTCGCGAATCCTGTTACACGCGCCGTCGCACAAACCGTCTCACCAGGCCGCAGTTGCTCGGCCCAGCACGCAGCACGTACATCCATGTCTAGAAGGTCGAACGCGTTCCGTGCAGCCGCTATCAGCCTCGAATCACCCTCATCCTGATCCTCTTCCTCCTCCTCCTCCTCCTCCCTCTCCTCTCCTTCATCCCTCTCCCCTTCCTCCGCTCGCCCCCCTTCCCCTGCCGCAGCCCCCGCGCGCTCCCCCTCACAGCCGCGGCCAGCCGCCTTCAGCTTCACGCTTTCCGCTTCTCGCTGCTGCTGCTCCAGTAGACGACGAACCATGCGAGTCGACATCGCTACTACTGTAAACCTCTTCGCTACGACTAGCCAGAAAAGGGCGTTCTCCGGAAATACTAAAGCGGGCTTCCGCGGAAACGACGACCAGATCAAGACTTTTTTACCACTGCTAGCTGCTGCAGGGTGTCTAAGTAGAGCATGGATTGCGGCCGACCGTTTGATCGATTGTGGTTGACGGTGGATCGGGAAGGTACGCTGCTGCGTCTACGACACAAAGCGTACTGTATGTGTCATATAGCTACTTTTGAAACACGGCTCGAGCCTACATTGTTTGAGGAAAGGAATGCCTCGTGCCTTCACTGGCAGCTTGATTCGATGAGAGTATGATTAGTTTAGTTCTGCTCGAAATGCTAGGACTACAACGCTACTACCAAAAAAGTATCTAATTTTTGGGTTGCGAAGCAACCTATTACAATCGTTATGTACAATTTTTTTTTTCAATCCTCAATACCTTTAAAAAATAGAGGGAAAAAATATAGTGAACGGTACTAGCTAAATGACTGACTGCAATGTATCTGCCGCGTCAATTTACCACGTGCTGAACCACATTCCTTCTCATTTCCTAGTTTACTTTGACTGAACCTATATTTCATGAGTTGCCAAAATGATGTACTGTGAATGCATAACTGTTTATTCCGTGATGCATATGTCTGCTGTTGTTATAAGTAGATGAAGTAAATGCAAATGCATAAGTATAATGCATATACGGTACTACCGGTACCGTAATGAAATAAATGCACAGCATGATGGAAGTGTGTAACAGTTAATTGACGCAGACCCTATGCTACCGCATCCCCTGCCTAGCATGGGGGGGAGCTCAATAGCATAATTTCTGAATCATCCAACTGTTACATGAAACAACACAATCTGTGTGCTATAAAAAACAGGTCAATTCCATCAAATCCAGTTCGAATGGACACACTCACTGAGTGCGCAAAGAACCTTCTCGGAAATGATAGTTTGATCCCAATTTTTAAACCCCACAGACATGTGTTATTAATGCAATGGAAACATGAATGAAAACGCATACGCACACAACACAACGCATACACATGATCATACACATTCACACAGACACGCACGCACGAAGCCAACCGACAAAGCATATTAACCGCATATGAAATAGAAACCTAAATCACCAAGACATTATGTATCCTATACTGTAAGTCACAAGCAATATCAGTCTACTTCTCATATTGAGCTCGACTGCCTGAAAAGTAAGACAAAGCTGGGTTGAGGAAGGGAAGGCAAATGGGAAATAACAAGGCATAATGAAATTACAAGAAAAAGGAATAATGAAGAAACAAATGAAACAATACAAGGGCCAAGAAAAACGCCATGAGCATTGAAGGGTTAGAGCTGACAAATAACAAGGAGAAAATGTACTAAGGCATAAAACGAAAGTAAAGAACGAGAACAAAGGGAAAAACACATGACCAGACAGTAAACGAACGAAGAGAATATAACAAATACGTTGAGCGAGAACAACGGAGACCGAGAGCGAGAGCGAGAGCGAGAGAGAGAGAGAGAGAGAGAGAGAGAGAGAGAGAGAGAGAGAGAGAGAGAGAGAGAGAGAGAGAGAGAGAGAGAGAGAGAGAGAGAGAGAGAGAGGACGAGAGAGCGAGAACGAGAGAGTGGACGAACGAGAGAGAACGAACGAGAGATTTGACAAAAGAGAACGAGAGAACGACAGAGACGGAACGAGAGAGAGAGAGAGAGAGAGAGAGAGAGAGAGAGAGAGAGAGAGAGAGAGAGAGAGAGAGAGAGAGAGAGAACGAGAGAGAGAACGAGAGAGAGAACGAGAGAGAGGGAACAAGAGAGAGGGAGAACGAAAGAGAGAGAGAGAGAGAGAGAGAGAGAGAGAGAGAGAGAGAGAGAGAGAGAGAGAGAGAGAGAGAGAGAGAGAGAGAGAGAGAGAGAGAGAAAGAAAGAAAGAGAGAGAGAACGAGAGAGAGAGAGAGAGAGAGAGAGAGAGAGAGAGAGAGAGAGAGAGAGAACGAGAGAGAAAGAAAACGAGAGAGAACGAGAAAGAGAACGAGAGAGAGAACGAGAGAGAGAAAACGATAGAGAGAGAACGGGAGAGAGAGAACGGGAGAGAGAGAACGGGAGAGAGAGAACGGGAGAGAGAGAACGAGCGAGAGAGAACGGGAGAGAGAATGGGAGAGAGAGAACGAGCGAGAGAGAACGGGAGAGAGAGAACGGGAGAGAGAGAACGGGAGAGAGAACGGGAGAGAGAGAACGAGCGAGAGAGAACGAAATGGACTGAACATGCAACCTATTACAATCTTTATGTACAACCTAAGACGAGGTTGAGAAAAAAATGAACTAAAACATGCAAATATGAAGAAAAGGCAACCGACGAGAGGAAAAGTTTAAGGATGAAGAATAGAAGAAACAGATGCAAGCTTATGCAGGAAGGAGAACCTGAAATCTTTACAAAGGGCCGAGAACCTAAGTTTAAACAACTAAGTCTCGCTAATACTCATCCATTTACACGGCTAGGATACGGAATGACTAAATGTTAGTCTATCTAATAGGCATCTAATTTAGTTGGAGTTAAAGTTGAGGGATCTTCTTACCTAAGTTGCAGTTAGAGTAGGTGGAGAAGTTGGTAGAGCGTGACGAGCGAGGAGAAGCGGGAGAAAAAAAGGGCGAACAAACCCTAAGGTAGTCTCAGATTCGTCGCAATTTTTTATCTCTGAATGATTCAGCTCTTTGAAATAACCATCTGTGCTGTAGCAGTGGTACAAGGCTTGAGGTGGAATCGAAAGATCCTTTGTTCGAACCCCATTCGCGATGTGCATTTGACCTTTTCCTTATGAGAGGAAGTACCACTTAGTGTCATACTACAGCATTATGTACAGAATTAGAAGTTGTACAAATTTATATAATTACGCAAAACGCTTCGCAACCCTAAGACGAATTCGTCGCCTCTTGTTTTGTCTTTTATGAGGTATTCATTGTGGGCACTGATTCATAAGGTTGAAGCAATGGCACGAGGGATGGACTAGACACACAAGGCATACAAGCGAGACAAAAAGACATTCATGCTCTATCAGAATCCGCTCACCCTCGTCATGTTGTGTTCAAGTATCTCTGAAATCCTTTGACAACTCGTACATGGTACACACAAACCCAGTGTGCAGATGGAATTGCGCTTTTGAAATGGTAGCAGGTGGTGGTAGGTGGAACTGGCAAGGTCCTTCAAAGAAAGTAATCAGGAGCAGGCCGTCTGGAGGGAGCTCCTCTAGCATCCTGCTCAAGACAGGTGAATACGCAAAGGGAGGAGAGAGTGGATGA